AACTGCCAAAATATTCGTGCAATCTATTTTTTCTTTATTTTTAGTAGCAAAATTGCTAAAACTGAGAATAATCTGTTGTTAAAAATAAAGAAAAAAACGGTACAAATTTTAGTTCAAGGTCATATGTTAAAAGACTGATAGGCAAATTTTGTCAATATTGTCTATTAGTAATACAGTTGGAAGTATAATTCTGATTTTAAAAAAAACTTCTAATTAAAATCAGTTTATTAATGTCATTATTTCAACATGTACTCATATGTGAAAGGTGGAGAGTTTTTACTTGACTTATAATTGTTATTATTGTTTGTTAATCAGTCTTAAGTCTTCAATTTTCATAACCTTTACCAGGCTTAATATTTTAATTTTTAAAGGGACTTGGTCATCATTCTATCTTGACAAAACCATTCATACATCATCATGAGGGAACATGTCAAAATAAGTCTTGACTAAATAGCAGAACTTTTATCAGAAATTTAGCCATTGGTGTGTTGATCAGGTCTCTGAGGGTCTGTCTGCTGGTTGTATGGGCATGTTTAGTTATTGTTAGCTGGTTAAGATAGGGTTAACAGAACATTAAGGTTTCTATTTTGGTCTAATAAATAAATATAAAACCATATTGGGGGAGTGGGGGAGGAGTTATGTTCTTCTTTTTATTTCTTTAAATTTAGCCATTAATGTTGCAAAGTTATTTCAAAAATATGACTAACATTGAAAAAAAAACGTATTTTTACAGAAATATTTATGTTATAATATTGGATGAGCTGCTTACTCTTATAAAACTATATTACTACCCTAAAAACATTACAGTTGTAAAGTCTTTATTTTGTAGCTTCACATTTGATGTTACTTTTAACATATCATTTGATTTATTTTAATATAATATCAAATTAAAAAGTAATTTAGGTTAATTGTACAAATCAATATTTTTTTCGCTGATGCTTTATACAAATGAAATTTTTCATGATATTAGATCTATTGTATGGAAAATGTTGTTTGTGTATTATCAGCAGAATTTTTTTTAATCAAAGAATTGTATTTACAGATCATAACTCTTTGGCACAGTAACATATTTCAAACATTAATAGTATACATTTGTATATATTATGAAGATCATATCTTATAACATGATCTTCATTATATAGGCATTAATAGCAGAATTAATCACCATTCTTATCTATATTATCTAAACATAAGTATAACAAGGATTTTTCCATAATGTTTATTAAAAAAAATAATATTTCAACATTACAAGTAACATATACCATAAAATAGTACTATGTTTTGGAAATGTATATGAATATGTAATCTGTAACTCTTTGTTTTGATAATGATGATGATGATGATGATGATAATAATGATGATGATGATGATGATAATTTCATTTTGATACTAAATGTACATAATAATCATACAGCTTATTTTTAATATGGCCTTCTATACATACTATATAAACAGAAAACAGAAACAACAATAAACAGCAATATAATTACAACAAACATTCTTATGAAAATACATTACATTTTCATGGAAAGTATCAACTTATATAAAATAGTAGTTTAACTTCGTACATTATCAAATGCATCCATCAATGTTAACAAAAAAAAAATGATAAGCATTGATCTAAACCCCTTATAAAATGCATTTTCGCTTTTTAGAATGTTGATTTCATTAGATGCTTAAACTGTATTTCAAGGGAGATAATATGTTGCATATCTATATACATCAGTTAACTCCCCTCATTCTATCACATTCTCAAAAATTATTTTCTTTAGGCCTAAATCAAATTTATATTAGAATATTTTTGACCGATGGTAGAAAACCCGATGGTGCAACAAATTGTTAAACTCAATTTTGTTTAATACTTTCTTAAATAAATTTACAGTATTATATTAAAGAAAAGATGTTATTTCTGTTACAATAATTAATGAGTTGTTTTTTCTGTTACAATATTAAATGAAAGTTTTTTGTTTTTTTTTGTTACAATAATTATACAATCATTTTATTCTGGGACATATTGTATGTCCCAGTTTTATTTAAACAGTAGAAAGCTTGGCAAATAATTTAAACATTAGCACTAAGTTAGTTAGCATAATTATATAATGTTTAAAAATATGGGGCCCTAAATCATACAAAATTACTGATCAGTCTTTGGCATAAGACTTAAAATCGAGGTCCCCTTGTATGAGTGCAGAAACACATATGGCACATTAAAGAACCTGGAGAAGCTTCTGGAATTTGGGCATCTATCTGTATCTTGCTATCCTCCAAAATATAACATGACTAATACTCTTCCGGAGGCCTCGCTCGAATGGGCAAACAGAGGCCAGTATAAATAAATTCAAATACACATACACCAATATAGAGCAGGGAGCTTTACCAGCCTGTACATCTAGTCTGACCGATGCCAAAGATGAGACTGGGTCAAGTCCATTTAAGAAATACATTCTAGTTAAGCAGACTGCCTTATGTACAGTGACATTTACCTGCTTGGCCAGTCTCTATTTGAAACTGTTATGGGAAAAAGTATGTCATAAAGGCATTGCGGATAAAGTTTTACAATATAAAAAGCAATGGTCTTGATTTTTCTTTTCTCCCCATAATTATATTTTTTAGGAATTATTTGATGCAAAATAAGTTAAGAAAAATAAATAATAACAATATAAATTCAATGATATGTACTGTCTTGGATATGATATGTTTTAAAAAAAAATAAAAAAAAAAAAAGGTACGATCTCGGCAGGACTCGAACCTGCAATCTCCTGATCCGTAGTCAGGCGCCTTATCCATTGGGCCACGAGACCACATGACAATGAGCAACGTAAAATTGGAATATAATCTAATTTTAGATAAAGAAAACATCAATCTATTAATAGAACTGGAAAACCCACATTTTGTCCGCCAAAGTTTTATGCATAACTAAATGATGATATTTATTACAACCTTCCACATAAAAATTAAAGTAATGTTTCTTTTATCTGAAATCAAGAAGCGCCCTAAAGCAACTCAGTATCATAAATTTCTGTTTTTAAATTTCCAATCACGTGATGCCAAAAATTATTTCCGGGTTGTTCATGTCAAATTCTAATGAAATCTGTCCTTGAATCCTGCGCCGCTTCTTTTGGCCTTGTGTAGTAGCTGGTAAGATTATTAACATGACAATGGAACACATTAGAAGTATTTTTAGATACCTATGCCGTTATTGTTACTTTGAACGGCATTTCTTCAAAGTGTAATAATATTCGGATACATCTTGTTATCAGCAGATAGATGTAAATATTTTATTTCCTTCAATGTGCATGAAGAGCCGAACTTATAAAGTTATATACAAACATGTAATTATGAAATTAACAAAAACAGTTGAAACAACTAGATATAATATGAACATAAAGCATGTTAACATTAATTAATATTAACAGATTAATTTACAGAAATCAACAATCCAGAGTATTTCTAGATGCATATATAGATCTACTCATATTAAAAAATAAATATATGAATAATTGAATAAATAATGATTGAATAAAGCAAAGAAATGTAACAGATTGAGAATGTCAGCTCTATATTCCAGTTTTAATGCTTGTATTTATTATGAGGAGTATACAGATAATAATTACCAGTCTTGCTCGTTCAAGATATTATTGCTACATTATTTTTCAAATAAAATTATAGTTGAATGTTTAATTGTTTAATTAATATCAGAACTCATCTTGCCAAAAACATAGACTCAAATACATGATCAGTAATTAATATATTGTTGTTCATTGTAAGAGTATGAAGTATACTACATGTTTAATTTATTCATGTAAAGATTAAGCTTCAACATATATGATAAACTTAAGTCTGTACATGCATATTAGAGTTAGTTGCAATATGGAAAATCTTATGTAAGGAATCGGGAGGGAAAACAAACAAACAGCAACACTGATTCATTCATGTATGTACATACACAGGAAGAAGGTATTATGCCTTGACATACTTACTTACTTAATTACTTAGCTACTGTACATGATGATGAACAATCCCTGAGCCAAATTTTATGCCTTAAAATCATTGTAGTTTTCAAAGGCACTGGCAGGCAGATTTCACAAAGCATATCATGTATATATTCAAAGCATATATATCATATATATTTAACTTGCCAGATGTAAAGTTCTTTTATTTAATTTACTTGTTTTCTCATTTTTGTGTTATTTTAACCAACTATTATCACCTTTAATTTAAATAATGCTCAAGCAAATGACCTGCCTTGTGTATGTCACATACATTAAGATGTTTTATTATAACTGTACATGATCACTGTTCTATATTTTGAACTAATTTGATGTAATTATAAAAGTAAGACAATGAAATGTCTAAAAATGATTAAGATGCATTACCAGTAACCAACTTAGAGGCTTGATTGACCAATTTTGTGTCTAGGTTCATCCATGAATATTGTGGGCCCCGTTGACCAAGTTTTGGAAAGCATTCGCCTACATGTTTTCACATTTATCCATAGGTATTTGCATCACTGTATTTTTAGCTCCTCTGGCACTAAGTGGTCAGTGCTCAGATATGAGCTTAGCCTTTTGTGATAGCAGTTTCTTTTGTGACAATGTCATTGGTTGTTTTATGTTAGACTTTTAAAAAAACGTAAGCTATATTATACCCCTTTGGTAAAAAATTGCCCAACCTTGGAGTCACAAAGTTTATATAGACTTTCATAGTGAATATGATTTAACAATCTTTCCCCCCTGAATTTCTCATTTGGCATGCTGAGTTTTTCCTTGTGGACATCTACAAATGCTTTAAAAAAACATGCAACTCCTGTAAAAAATGACAAACTTAATCATCAAGTTAATGTTGCCTACATGTAACTACTGACTGTTGCATTGAAGACTGTGACCTTTTCTAGCACTGTACATATATCTCAGGTGAGCAATGCAGGGCCATCATAGTTCTCTTGTTTGTATCTTTGCTTTAGCCATGATTCAGATCATTATGCCTTGTCACATTCTATTACTTTCTATATTATAACATCAACTATATCCTAAAACACGGATGTATCATTTAATGTCCTACTTGAGAAAGACAGTATCTTAACAGGATAATGAGTCTGAATAATGACTTTGTGTTACTGAGTATGATAACAAATGGATAATATCTCAATACATTGTAAAATCTGTATATATTATATAGCATTACACAATCTGTCAATACTAAAAGAAGGAGTTTACACCTACCTGGTTAGTTTATTTTTTTTTAATTATTTGATATCTTTAAGTTTATTGTTTGAAAAAAAAAGAACTTTTAAGTTACAAGCAGTAATACCGTATATCAGGTTTTTTTGTGTGTAACTTTTCCACTGTAATGGCGTGTACTGAATATCGCTAAATATAGATTGACTGAAATTACTTAATTTTATACAAGGATTTTGTGAGATTTCAAGCATTACATGTAAATGTTGTTAAAATGTATAAAAAATGAGCAAAAAAGTATTTTAGTTTGTTTAACTGATCGTCAGATATAATAGAATAATTCACCATTTGTAATAGTTATGGCAGCTAAACAATAACATGTTAACAATAGGGCAAGACATGGTAGTAAGTGTGAAATACCGAAAAACATACCTGTAAACAAGGTGTCACCTGTGAAAACAACAAATCTCAGACAAATAGAGTAGTTTCTCTTTATGTCAGCAGAAATACCCCAAAAAACTAGATTCGCTAAAATTAGATTGCTTCCAAAATTGTGAAATTTGCCGTACACAAAAATAACCTGATATGCAGTATATTATACAGGATGTTTTCCATTTCATAAGGCAATTATAGTACTAAGGAAAGGAAATTAGTTATTAGAGCTAGTAAAAAGGGTCAAGTATCATTGCAAGAAAGTTATTTCTTGAATCTTACTTGTAATTAGCTGTAATTAGCTTTAATTAGCTATAGTCATTTTTCTTTGAATTTCATCAGATGGAAATTTAATTTAGATTGTTTAATTTCAGGTTTAACAAACAATGTCTGGGAGTCAGTGTTGTAGGTATGTGTGCCAAGAGTTTCAACTGAAGAGGTTTGGGTGCTCTGAGGTCCATCCTGCAAGATTCTCCTATAGTCAGGTATATTATAATAATCATTTAGTTATTTTGTTTGGTTCTATTCTGTTTGGTACTAAACTATTTTTACTGTAGACACAATAATGATTTGTACATGTATATTCTTGCAGTCTGAACTTACTCAATACTGTTTAAGGTAACTGGTTTAAATTTTTTTGAAATAGAAAGTCTTGGAAGATGCTTAATTCAATGTAGGTCATGCCCTTAACATAGATTCAGTAGAATACTGTAAGGCTTCCTATTTATTAAATCTATTTAATCGTTATGCTGGCAATAATTTATTAGATTATCACATATCATATGAAACTTAATACTTTTATTTAGAGAAAATGAATGAAGCTCAGATAAAAAATGATATTTTGTAAGGTCCAAACTTATAATCAACATGTCAATAGTTTGATAAAAAAAATAAAAAATACATTTGAGTCGTGTCACAACAAAACCAACACAGTGCATTTGCGACCAGCATGGATCTTGACCAGCCTGCGCATCCACGCAGTCTGATCAGGATCCATGCTGTTCGCTCTACTTGTAATAGGGTTAGTAAGCGAACAGCATTGATCCTGATCAGACTGCGCGGATGCGCAGGCTGGTCTGGATCCATGCTGGTCGCAAACCCATTATGTTGGTTTTGTCGTGACATGGTTCATTTAAAGTCTGGTAAACATGTATTGTAGGCAAAAAATTGGCAAGGGTATACAAGACTTCTTGGCTATTTGGCAATGGAAAAGTTTTTTATTTAATGAAAGTTGAAGACTTATCATATTTCATGTATTTTAGATATAGTAGAAACAATCATTAGATGTGTGTTTGACATAATATCTTTTCTTATATTAAAGTGGAGAATCCCATTAGAAGTAGTTTTGGTGTACAGATTTCTCGTTGCTGCATACTGTATATTCTGGCTGATCTACACAAGTCGATACGGCTCTGTCCAAGTTGTCAATGGCGCTGAAATACCAATGTTTGCTTTCCTCACAACATGGACATATTTTGTGTTGACCGTATACCTTACGTTACATTTTCTCTCGTGTGTGCTTTATGCGTGCAGACGTGGCGGTGGTTTGTGCCGTCGTTTGTCGAGCGAGAATCATCGTCACATGTTTCATGAGCTCGAAGTACAGCCAAGTTTATGGGCAAGCCGGGAGTACGATGCCATCCCCGGAACAGAGCCAGACGAGGAGGTAGTTGATGAAATAAGAACCGTTCGATTGTCATGGTTAACAAAGCTTGTATGGGTTTTATACAATATTGCGTCAAATGCTTGCATTCTTGTAACCCTAGCATTCTGGATTTTACTTTATCCAGGTATGCATCTGAGTGGTTTGGAATTGATGCTCAATATTCAACTTCACGGGATAACCTCTGTTATTATTATAATAGAGATATGCGTTACCGCCATACCTGTAAGGTTACCACATTTTATTTACACGCTTTTGTACGGTTTACTTTATATCTTATTCAGCGGGATTTATTACGCAGTTGATCATAGACATGTACTGTACCCACATGTTCTTGACTGGAGTGAGCCAGGAAGGACGGCTGTTATTTTAGTCCTTTCTGCGTTTGTTGCATTGCCTCTTGTACAGCTGTTTTTATTTGGAATCTCAAAACTTCGGCTTTTTATATTTGATAGATGTAACCCAGAACAATTGTAATTTGATACCAGTTTAATACCACTTATTCTTAAACAGATTTTTACTTATATTAAAAAATATTCTGCGAAAAAAAATCTTAAAGATAATTAATCTTTTTATTGTTTTTAGAAAAAGTATGATTTTTATTCATGTGCAATAGGACAAATAGTTTTTTTTTGCATCCATATTACTTTAACAGGGTTGGGGCATTCGTGGCCGAGTGGTTAAGGTCATGACTTCAAACCACTTGCCCCTCACCGCTGTGGGTTCGAATCTGGACAGGGACTTTGGATTCTTTCATGTGAGGAAGCTATCCAGCTGGCTTACGGAAAGTCAGTGGTTCTATTCAGGTGCCCGACCGTGCCTTAAATAATGCATGGAAGGTCTTCCTTCACCAGTAAAGCTGGAATGTCGCCATATGACCTGTATGTGTGGGTGTGACTTAAAATCAAATCAAACAACAAAAATTACTTTAACAGAGTTATGGCCCTTTGATATTTTTAACACTTAATGAATTTTAGGCATTCTTTTTCAATGCTTATGTCTGAGGAAGAACCTTGTGAGAGATATGACATTTATATACTGTATACTTTAACATGGAAGTTCATTTCTTAATTGTTTGCTACAGCTGCTGATACCTTATGAAATCTTTGGGTGGACTTTATGAACCTTCATAAAACTTTTTTTATGAAAATGGCATCTAAAGTTAGTGAACCTCAGGTGTGGAGCAAGGATTTTTTACCAGAGAGGGTTGCAAAATTCTTACAAAGGGAAATGCATGTTTCAAAGGGGGTTGGCATTTTACTAGTTTTGTAGAGGAGGTCATGAGCCAATATTTTGCTGTTCTTCACTTGTTTTTGCAAGATTTTTGTTTAAAAAAAAAGCATAAGCTGGTATCAAAATCTCAACTCCCACCCCCCTTGGATCCAAGCATGGACCTAATTAATAACAACATTTTTGTATAAAAACACAACAAGACAATACATGGAAATTATTGTCTTCTATGTGATTTATCCAAGTTGAAAGGGTTTATTTCATTATAAAACTTATCTCTTAACTTGCAGAATTTCTAACATTGAGTTGTCCAGCTTCCATTTTTGGAGCTGTTGATTTTCAATTTTTAAGATCAAGATGAAAACTTGAAATCGGTCAGTCTGGTTAGACTTCAGATTTGTTTACATTGTTCTTGCATATTAAAGTATAAAAAGCTGTCTCTCAGACTCTGCTGTAAAAATTATTGTTTTGAAATTTTGGAAAAGAATACTTCTAAAATACCTCTATGAAAAAAATATGTTTTTATTTTTAGCTCACCTGTCACAAAGTGACATGATGAGCTTTTGTGATCGCTTTTTGTCCGGCGTCCTTCTGTCTCTCCAGCGTCCGTCCGTAAACTTTTACTTTAAATGACATCTCCTCATAAACCGCTTAGCCAATTTCATCCAAACTTCACAGGAATGTTCCTTTGGTAGTCAACTTTAAAAGATGTTCAAAGAATTTAATTCCAAGGAGAACTCTGGTTGCCATGGCAACCGAAAGAAAAAACTTAAAATATCTACTTTTAGAAAACTGAAAGAGCTAGAGCTTAAATATTTGGCATGAAACATCATATAGTCAGTGTCTACCAAGTTTGTTTAAATAAATGCCCTGGGGTCAAAATTGGCCCTGCCCCTGGGGGTCATTGATTTTCCTTATATAGTAAAAACTTAAAAATCTTCTTTTAAAAAACACAAATAGCTAGAGCTAAGATATTAAGCATGAAACATCCTGTAGTGGGTGTCTACCAAGTTTGTTCAAATAAAAGCCCTGGGATCAAAATTTGCCCCGCCGAGGGGGGGGGGGGGTCATTGTTTTTCCCTATAATTATGTATATAGTAAAAACTTAAGAAATCTTCTTATAAAAACCCCAAAGAGTTAGAGCTTAGATATTTATCATGAAACATCTTCTTATGGGTGTCTACCACGTTTGTTCAAATAAAAGCCTCTGGTTTAAAATTGGCCTTGGCCCAGGGGCCTATATACAGGTGAGCGATTTAAGGCCCTCTTGTTTCTAAGTGTGAATGGTACATGCAGGAAACAATAGCTAAAAGGCTAAAACCCTTCCTAGAATATCAGCAAAATATTTTGTTCCAGAACATTTTATTCAGTTTACGTACAATATTTATATGTGTTCAATTACAGAGACATTCTTTGTGACATTTCTTTCAAGAATCTACTATAGTATCATGAGCACTATTTGATTTTATTGTTTATAAAGAAGTTTATAGAAGCATTTCAGCTTCAAAAAAAATGTAGCTTTATACTTTTTATGGTTTGAATTATTTATTTACACATTTTTTAATGAAGTAGATTCGTGAAGATCTGTTAAAACCTGAATTTATGTAAGTTTACCTACTTCAATATCCATTTGTGAGGACATCTGTCCTTACTAACTGTTCTTTACAGTATGTATGTGTTGTTAAGTGTTATAATTATAATATGTAACATGTTTGGTATGTTTGACCTTTCAAGGTCATTTACTGGGTGTTGGGGTTTAGGTTTATTGGGCCAAGGTCACTTAGGCTTTTCTTTACTTTAACCTTTTACCCCATGAGCATATTGCGAAAAATGGCCATTTTCACTGAAAAGCCTCCTGTAACAAGTTCAAACTGCTATGAAAGTATGAAAAATGCTTCAATACTAATGAAACTTGGCACAAATGTTGACTACACCATAGCCTCTGTAACAGCATGCTCAATGGTAAATTTCCTGTTACCATGGCAACGGGGGGACGTCTCAAAATTGCCAAAAATCACTATTTTGCATTGTTTTTTTCCATCAAAACTGATTTCAAAGTGCTGCAACTTCTCAATGAATTGTGATAGAGTAAAAGGCTTTTCAGCGTCGGTTACTAGCTACCCTAGGTTCGACCTGAGGCCATTTTTAGCCTGCCACATGTCCAAATTTTTCTTGGAGATGAGGGGGACTCCGCCCCCTTCAAACCCCCCAAACAGAAGGGGGTACATCCCCCTTCTGGCAACCCCCTGATGTAATATTTGGATGGGGGACGGCGCCGAAAAAGTGGTCACTTTTTTCAACAACATTTCTCAAACGAAAAACAGTGATTGGGGCCTTTTTTCACTGTTTGAGGCCTCAAAAAGGGGGGGGGGGACAAAAAGCCGTCGAAACACGCTTATATAAGGGAAAAGGTTAAACATTGTCAGAACATCTATTAGTGTAACCAATATGGGCTACATTCTTGATAAAGACTTAACAATTTTTAAGATTGAAACTTTTTATATTGCATAAAAAACAGGGTTTTTGTACATGTATGTTAGAATAGTTATGTTTATAGATATCAGGAAATTTTACAGTGCATAATATTAATAGTTTATGTTATTTTGATTTGAAGACTATTGTAGAAATAGGCTTTCTTAATAAAGATGTCAAATCTAAGGAATTTTAGTGCCTTTTGTAACTGACTTATTGCAAACAAAATTCAGGTATGTAGATAAATTTAATTTTAAACTTCTCATTTATTACAATTTAAAACTTAAACCAATTTTATATTACAGAAATTTGCATAGTTTATTATATATAATGATGTTTTAAACTTGAATACATACGCTTCATTGTTTATTATTTAGTTTAAAATCTTCTGAAAGTTTCCTTATTTGTGATAATTTATGACACTTTGTTTCTCCCATTGATTAAAGAAAGATAATCCTGCAAGTGATGTACAAATTGTATGCTTTGAGTAATCTCCCTTTGTTACTGTTGTTTTAGTGACAATTACACTAAATTTTTTATATCAATTTACAAATTGCTTTATTTATGTAGTATGCTTGTTATTTTATTTATTGGTGATGTATTGAGGGTAAATAACATAACCAGGTAAAGCTTTAAGTACTGTTATATCTTTCACTTACAATATTTCAAACAGCCTTGTAGATCTGAATGAATTGTGCCTTTAAAAACCAGCATAATATTTTGTTGCAGAATGTGTTATTTTGTTTACATACGTTATTATTCATGTATGATGTATGTAATATATCAGCAATATTTCATGTCACTATTATTTTAAGAATCAACCAATTGATTATGGAAACAATATAACTTTACTGTTGATAAATTTTATACAAATATTTCATAAGATATACCCTCCAAAATTTAGAAATTTAGGTGTTAATTAATTTCACACTCCATGCACATGTTTTAAAATAAATGTTTGTTATGTATGCATGTACTTTGTTTATTCACAAAAACATATCTTATATCATAATTATTTTGTTTGAAGTTAATTATTGTATATCAATTTTGGTACAACATGTTTGAATAATTATGTGTACATGTATAATCAGAATTTTTATTTAAAGCAGCACCCCTTCAGATTTATGTTTTATATTTTATGAAAGGTAAAAAATTGCTAAAATCAAATAATTTTACAAATGTATATTATTTGAACAAAAAGATGATTGCAGGCTAGCTTAAGATATCAACTTTGCAAACCTGTGTCAAAATATGTTAACATAGCCTTAACTTTGTTTTTTATATGGGTAAAAAGTTGTTAATAAAGATAATTACAATTTATGTCAATCATATTTTGCATAAAACATAAGATACTTTATTTACTATAGTGTGTAAAATCAGTGATATGCTACATGTGAATTATTACACCTGGCCCAATGTACCAACATGTGTAAGTCACCTTATATTAACAAATATCAAAGTATTATATACAAACATTCAAAGTATCACTTTGATTTGATAATGAAATTTTGTACTTTTTGAAATTTATAATACATTTTTGTATTTAAGTTTCAATAAATTACTGAATAAATCTGTTTACCCATCTGAAGGTGTGCAGCCCTAAATAAAGTATAAAATAGTTAGAATTGTTGATATTTGCCCATTGTTGATATTTACCAAGCTTTATATATATTTCACATGCAAAGGTTTTTTGTTCACCAGATTCCACTAATGTGATATGAACAATGAAAATATAGATGCAATGTATAAAGGAAGTATGGGTATAATTAGTGTCATATTTAATTAATGTTGAGGAATTTCTTTCACAATTATGCTTTTTACCTTCCGCTGCCTTCAAAGTATAGTTGGGAATATGATAATTAATTAATTGATTTTTAATCAGAATTTTGGTTTAAGGTTGAAAAATTTTTTTAATGTTAACTTCTGTAATGGGTTAACTTTATATACATAAAGTGAAAAACTACCATTCATCATTTTTAGTTCATTTCTGTAATTCTTAAAAAAATCTGGTAAAGATATTGTTACAAAAATATACCATTGCAGCATCATAATGGTTCAAACATATAAATATATTTATTTTTATAAAAAAAAATACAAAGTTTATGTCTAAGCAAATAAGACATAAAATGTGCAATTTACAATGTAGTTCTATATACAAACTTAATTTGAGCCATGTCAGGACAAAACCAACATAGTGGGTTTGCGACCAGCATGGATCCAGACCAGCCTGCGCATCCGCGCAGTCTGATCAGGATCCATGCTGTTCGCTTACCAACCCTATTACAACTAGAGAAACTGATAGCGAACAGCATGGATCCTGATCAGACTGCGCGGATGCACAGGCTGGTCTGGATCCATGCTGGTCGCAAACGCACAATGTTGGTTTTGTCATGGCGCGGCTCATTTCATATGAGGAAGTTCAGAGTGTCTCTTTTTCAGTTCAGAAATTATTTGTTATTTTAGTATAAATTACATTATTTTAATTGTTACCTCTTTTCATTTGTTTATTTGTTCAATATACACAGCTTTAATAATATTTTGTAACATACTTGATCTGTACTATTTTTTGTCCTAAGTTTTATCATATTGTGAGAGCTGTTATAAGTAAGATTGAAATTAAATTCTTATCTAAATTCTCTTGTTGCGTACATTGTTATAATTAGTTATTACACGTAGAGTGGCGCCCATGACCAAGTGGTAAGGTCAACAACTTCGAACTACTTGCCTTTCACCGCTGTAGGTTCGATTCGCGCCAGGGTCTGTGATAAAGCTATCCAGCTAGCTTACGGAACTTTGGTTGTTCTACTGGTTCTACTCAGTTTCCCCGTTTGTGCCTGAAATAATATACACAGGGACACTTGAGATCCCCCCCCCCCCACACCAGTATAGCTGGAAAGATGCTATTTGTCGGGTTGGTGCGAGGTAAAACCTAAACAGAATGCGACCTGTAAAGTTTCAAAATAAGTGCTGAAAGAACAGCAAAAAATGCAGACCACGATCAGACGGAACGGACGTGGCTTTTGCGTCACCGTAAATAAGGTATTGCACGGCCGTGTATATATTTTTTGCACTATAAATACAAACAGCGTAAAGACGCCAGGAGCACGCATAACCACAGTATATAAACGATTTGAACCCCAACCGGATCTTGTGAGAAGAATTCAGCATCTAAACGTACAATCAGGCGTAATGACACATTAAACTATTAAAAATCGGCTTGAATTTAATATGTAACGGTATGTTAACATTTGATTCATATTAAGAGATAATTTATCTTTGCTTAAATATACATCCATAACCTTCTTCGTAAAATATATGCGCATAAAACGCTGTGCTCTTCGCCTCATATTTTGTTTATGTCAACACACGCCGATTACACAAGTAAATGTATGCCTAAAATTGTTTTATTTTACTATAACTCATATCTGAATCTTAACTTTATTGTCTTAACCTCATGTTACCGGACAGACACTTGTGAAAATATCTTTGAATATTGATAAAACATAGTAAATAAATAGTGGCGACATTTCTGATAACTGTACCCGTCTTGCTAAAACAATTTTAATGATCTGTACCCTACTTGTGTTTTCACTGAACCATTACTTGCGAGTCACTTATGATGATTTTATTGTGTTTTTGTCGTATGTTCTTAATTTTGATGTGCAGAATATGAAAGTTATTGTGTCACAAGAGAAGGGTACATGTTTTAGTTCTAAGTAAGTAACTAAAACTGCATATGAATGAAGGTGCTTCGTCATGTTTTCACTGTCTTGAAATACCGGCATGAAAGTGGCTGTTTTAAAACGAATCAGAAAGACAATTGTTTCTTGAAAGGAATAATTAACTATAACGACATTGTTGTTAGTTTTGACGTGACCGTTATATAACGTCACGTATAAAAAAACTCGAAATATCATTACAAGATTTTTTTGCAGATTACTTATTTCAACATGTTGAAAGCTTTTCACCTACCGTTGATTTCATTCTGCTTTTTTAAACACTGTTTTATATTTCTCAGAAATTAATTGACTTTCTTTTTCTGACATGTACGACTTTTTATTCTGGTATATCTTTCATAGACGTCGACAATTTTGGCATCTTTTTAAACGGGAATATTCGGGAAATTTTGAAATTTTAATTGTCAGTGTTTCAGCTATTGGTGTTATAAACTTCTTTTTTTTTTCGTTTACGTTATTGGCTGTGACGCTGAAATTTTTTAAGTAGAAAATTTTATTCTTCTTATTTTCAAGTTGCAGTCTGGATGGCGAATAATTAGAGGTCAATGATGTCATTGAAATTCGTAGTCTTTACTGAACAGTATATGCAGTTGTATTCTTGCATGGTGATGCGAAAGAAAAATATACATAGCATTATATATTTTCTTTAAACAAATGATTAACATATTATCAGTTAAACCAATTCTCGGTAATACCTTATATCCCACCTTATATACTAAAATTCTATTATAATCATTTATATTTTCTGGCAATAATTGATACAAAATCGCAATGAACGTAAACTTTTTCTCCAATAAATCTTTATAAATACTCACAAGTCAGGGTACAGATAAAATTCGTAAACTCACAAGTAGGGTTCACAATCACCAGCAAGTAACGTTCAGTTTACGGAAATGACCTCCTTGGTAAAACTCTTAAATTTATGTTCAAGATACAGCAATATGTTATGCATATGACTAAATTATCGTTTGTTATTGATTGATTTAGTAGTCCGATATCAAAATTCAATGTTTAACTAAATCAACATTGGAATAAGACGGATTTTTGTTCGTGTTCAGTGTTGATCACATGAAAGCTGTTCGTGAGTTTCAATTATTTTATAGCCTTCGTGCTAACGTTTATGTTTTGCATAACTTAGACGTTTAATAAAGTTTCTCTCTTATAATATAAATATAGATTTATTAACCAAACGTCCATCAGTATCAATATAAATACCAATATCGTAAACAAGTGAAGTGGCAGAATATGGCTGACATTAAAATCTTCTCACAAGATCCGGTTGGGGTTCAAATCGTTTATATACTGTGATAACACAACTTTATTCTACTCGTTTAATAAATTCAGTATTGAACCTACACTCACCGCTATTTACTGCACTAGTAGCAGCCGCCATCAGCAACTCACAAGATTTTTTTTAGACTTCTTACTTTTTTCATTGTTATACCTTCCTTTTATCAAATATCTACAAAATAAAGACCTAAAAATGTACTCGAAATCAGATATGTTTGAATTTTTGTTTCGCATTGAAATATGCAATAATATCAATGAAGAAAAAGGAAACTCTCACTTTATAATTATAAATAAAGTGTTTATTATATATATTACACTTTATTATATATTTAACTGATATTTTAGATTTACCTCTGAGGCTCTCCGTAAATATGTTTTGCCTATGATGATAAATGTGTAAGCTGGCCAAAGATGGTTAGATGGAGACAACTGCGCCACATGACCCTTCCAGTGTTGGTGCGACGTTCCCCCCTCCATCCACCATCCTGTAACTGAAGAATCGTGGTAATGTTTAATTGAAATTACCACTGTGGCAAAATGGATATAGTCCTATGTAAATTGCCCTAAATTCAAATGGATTTAAATCCCATTAGTAATGCTGTATTATGGAGTGTGTACATGGTGTGGAATTTAATACAGTCCCACCAGGCGTTCCTTGATGACGGAAATAATGCGCGGAAGGACATCTGACATCTTCCTGCTGTCGTGAAGATAAAAAGTTGACTTTAAAGTATCGCTATGATGAAATAAAATAAATAGACATAATTAAATAAAACGTCCATTAAAACGTAATCATGTATGTGTATAGTATTAAACTGAGAAGACGATGTGAACTATTTTAGAGGAAGTACCTTTTTTGTCATAAGCTTACATATAGTTGAACTATAAGTCTGTCTATTTTCTTTCAAGTCTTGTCGATTTGTTCTAATCTAGTTATCGACCAAAATCTATTTTAGAATCAATGCCACTAATTGGCCATCGAGTTTGTAAATTTCCCCGAAATATTCCTATAATACTGCCCTCACACATACCTCGCGACCTTACTGCGTCCTTACTGCGACCTTGCTACGACCCAGGACGCAGCACAGTCGCCATGGACGCAGCAGGGACGCAGCGAGGTCGTAGCGAGGAACCCAAGGACGCACAAGGTCGCAGACCGTCGGCGACTATTTTGAACATGCACAAAGCAGTCGCAGAAACTCTGCGTTCTTGCTGAGTCCTGGTTAGGTCGCCGTGGGATCGCAGTGGAGTCGCCATAGTCGCAGCAGCATCGTAGTAAGGACGCAATAAGAACGCAATAGACGTAGTACACTCGTACTAAGGACGCCGCTGTTTCAACAGACTGTTGACCACTAGAAGACTGTTTGTATGCGTCTCCGCCAGTGGATGAAGCCGCGATTTCTACACACTGTGAACCACTACCAAACTGCATATCTGAAGCGGCGACTGGGTCAACTTGTAGCACTTTAGAGACCCTCGCTCTTTTGCCTCGTCCGCCTCTCATCTTTGGAATAATATGGATGATTTAACCTAATACTAATTAAATATACGTCTTCACTCGTTGAAGGTCAGACTCAGAATGAAATTAAAGGCCCTGTCACACCAGACTGGGCTTTCACTGCGTTTGCACGGCGTTGTAAAGTTTAACAAAGCGCCGCGAGATCGCAATAAAAAATGTTATATTTCTGTTGACATAAAGACTTCATGGAGTCTTCACGGCGTCCCCACGGCGATCATGGCGATGTTACGGAGCTTTCAAGGCGTTTCAATTGACGATTGTCTTCGTTCGGATCGCGCTTCTACGACGTTCTTTGCGCTTTCACTGCGCATTTACGGCGCTCATACTGCGTTCTCGCGGCATTTACACTGCCCTGAAATCGTAAAGCTCTGTAAAAGCGCCGTGCACACGCAGTATAACCGCGGCAAAGACGCCGCTTGGATCGCAAACATCGCCGCAGCATCGCCATAGCATCGCAGTGGCATCGCATAGAACGCCGACCGACGGCGCGCATTTTGAACATGCTCAAAACAAACGCCGTGACTCGGCGTTCTGAAAAGAGCGCTGTGGGATCGCAGTAAGGACGCCGTAGCAACTCAGTAACATCTCCTACAACGCAAAAGGAGCGCCGTGAAAGCGCAGAAGGATGGCCGAATAAACGCCGTAATTAGCCTCGGCGCTTCTACGGAGATTGTACGGCGCCTCTATCGCGTTTATACTGTGTGTGTACGGCGCTCTTACGGAGCTTCATTTTTTCTAAAACGCTCTTACTGCGACTCTACGGCACTGCCACGGCGACCATTGCGCACTGAAGACGATTCTACTGCGTTTATCTGAAATTGCAGAGTACGCTACAGTAGAATCCCTACTTAAGACCACACCAGAATTAAGACCAACCCTCTTATTAGACCCATTTTTTAAAAGAACGGAATTTTCTGTTCGTAATGTTAATGGTTACATGATCCACAATTAAGACTACCCCACTTATCCACATTTAAGACCACCAGCTTTAGTCCCAATTCATTGTTTTATTATCTAACCCCACAGTTGGGACTACTGATATTCCAGTAAATACCTATTAAGATAACAAGTTTTTTTGTTATTCATCTGCTTGAATTCTCTAAAGCATGACACTCGAAACATTGTGTTGAAACTGTTGTGATTAGAATACTGTATAAAGGTAAGACAATAAATTTCAGATTCGTTAAATGTTACTTTCTGCTCATTTTTTGTGACGAATTAATTTCTTAATTAATAGGTGAATTATGTACATGAAACAAGACCTATGAAAATATAATTTATACATTAAATATCGTCAGATTAATGTTCTAATTAGGATTAATAAATAATTAAATATTACAACATCAGTTTATTGTAATATTTGAAGGTTATAATATAATTGTTTCAACATGTTTATACATAATAATTCAAATAGAGTGGTCATGAAATAGATATGCCTTGATAATTAATTATATCCACAATTAAGACCACTCGCAATCAAGACCACTTAACTGCAGTCCCTTTTGTGGTCTTAAGTAAGGGTTTTCACTGTATATATAGAACGTGAATATCCTTTTAACCATGTATGATGAACGGCAGCAAGCTAGAATACTGCTTGCTTGCAGGTACACGACTATTCAGAACTTGTATGTGAAGCACGATTTCAGTTCAGTGTGAGCGCCGCAATAACGCCGTGTGAGCGCTGTGAAAGCGCAGGGTAAGCGCAAAGAACGCAGTAGAAGCGCAGTCCAAACGCAGACAATCACCAATGAAAACGCCGTAAGAACGCATTGCAACGCCGTGGAAGCTCCGTAGCAACGCCATGCTTGCCGTGAGGACGCCATGAAGACGCCGCGAAGTCTCCGTGTCATCAAAAATATCAGATTTTTCTTGCGTTCTCGCGGCGCTTTGAAAAATTTAACAACGCCGTGCAAACGCAGTGACAGCGCAGTCTAGTGTGACAGGGCCTTAACCACCGCGTTCATTCGGCGTTCCTTTTTGCGCTTTCACGGCGCTCCTGATGCGTTGTTGGAGATGCTACGGAGTTGCTACGGCGTCCTTTCTGCGATCCCACTGCGCTCATTTTAGAACGCCGAGTGACGGCGTTTGTTTTGAACATGCTCAAAATGCGCGCCGCCGGTCGACGTTCTATGCGATGCCACAACGATGCTACGGCGATGCTGCGACGATGTTTGCCATCTTACTGCGCTCACCTCGGCGTTCTGAAGTTTTACTGGACGCCGTCCTAGTGTGACAGGGGTTTTACTGGTAAAAAGTATTGTTTTTATAGACGTAGCAAGAACGTAGTAGGGTCGTCGTAATTGCAGGACAGTCTTCGGACAAACGCAATAGTCGTCGTAGAGTCGCCGTAAGGACGCAGAGAACATAGCACAGTCGCAGCTGGGTCGCCGATGATCGCCGTGGGGTCGCCTTGGGGACGCAATACAGTCGCAGTGGAAACGCCATGGACGTAGAAGGGTCGTATTGAGGACATAGAGAAAACGTACTGAACACAAGACTGCAGAGCCCCGGACCGTCTGCGAGAGAAATTTTGGAAATTTGAAAGAAAACCAACGATTTTCGAAAAAAAAATGCTATTTTACTAGTTTTCAGGTCGCAGTAAGGTCGTGATTTATGTGTGAGGGCAGCATAAGTCAACGCTTCTTATGTAGCAATTATGACGACACGATATCACTTTATGCCGTCAGAGTCATCAAGTTATTATGACGTCATGACGTCGCGTCTTGGTTACTGAACAGCTGTGTTTTTTTTTCTGTAACCAAAGCGCGCCATTTTTTTTATCAGAGCTAGAATATCTCTATTAAAATAATTAATTATTGTTCGGAGTTATTTCGTTGCACGAATGTCGTCTGGCAACGACTCCAACTTTATTGAGAAGATTCAGGCGAAACGAGTGTACGCTGACATACCAACTGGATCTGATATTAGCGACAAGTCATCGTCTGCTCTTGAGAGTGACGGTAAACGGGGAAATATAAGCAAGAGTAAGTCAATCTATAGCTCATTTATAAAAAAAATATGCTCATTTATACAGATCTTCACTATAATTCTGCCGAAGGGACTAGAGGTTATGTCCGAGAGTTCGAGCGATCCGAGGTAGAACAATATAATTATATTATAGATCTATAGGCATTTTGCCGGGACTGGGCGATGAGTTCGAGCGCAGGGAGGTATTCGAGCGATCCGAGTTCGAGCGAACGTAGTTTAACTGTATATTATCTTCTCGATCTTATATTGATATAGACTTTTTTTTATTGTCCATATTATCAAAACTTAGTCATGATATTTATAATTATTCTTGGCTCACATAATTATATCAATTCTGACATTTTCACATTGAGTATGGAGTTAAAGTAAGCAAATTAAGTCTCTGGAAATTGATAATTATTTTCTTTTTAAGTTTAATCTTAGATCTTTTAATGAAAGACTGACATCATATAAGGACAGATTGACATAATATATTGTTATTTTGACCTTATATTAAAATGGCTCCATACAATATATTCAAAAATGCACATCGTATAATGATAGATTGACATCATATAAAGACACATTGACATCATATATTGTTCAGTTGAATTCATATAAGAATATTTCCACAGAATATATTCTTGAGTGCACATTGAAAAAAGAAAGAATGACACAACAACATTCATTTTTATAATCATAAGACAGTGAAGGCTTTCCATAATAATGCATGCTTGGTGTTTAACCCTTCTATAGTTGGACGCTACGCTTTCCCCTGTCAGACTCCACGATGGACAGTTCTTGAAACTTTCCGTACTGAATTGTTTTAAGTTTCGTTTTCTGTCATATATATTTTACATCGACTTGTATAGTAAAATATATAAACGTCTTCGACTTAGAAACAACGGCTATTGTATTCTCGTCCGTACAAAAAGTTATATATTTATAGAAATATCTCAAGCTTATAGGAACAAACTGGCCTTGCCTTGCTATGACTGATGTGAATTTTAAAGGAAAAATAATTTAGAAATCTAAAAGGTCCTGTAACTCAATTTTTTTATTGTTATACATCATAAATATACGCTCAAATGGAGATTTAACAATATTGTTAGTTCTAAAAAGCATTATTTGTAAAGATATTACCGTGTTTACATTTTAAGTTAATAAAAAGGAAGGTAATCAGAAATTTATTTTCTATAATGTCTAAGTCAAATCTTTCAATAAGAAAATAATACATATATTTTAATGATTACGTATAATGTGGACAAGTAATTGCTGTACATATTTTACATATACGTATGTTTGAAAATTGTTTTAGAAGCATAATTATATACATATATATAATTTCACTGAAGTGAGGTAACATCCTTAATTCCAACATGCAGAATCTTCAAGTCTTCTTTGAAACATATAAGTAGCCATGTTGGATGTAGAGGGCGGAGTTACGGTTATTACCGTAACCTTACGGTTTCTACCGTAACCTCTCCTCACTGGTGTCCCCGTAATGTACCTACCGCTAATGGTGGGTCAATAGCGATTACCATATGTCCTAGCACTCACACAGTGTCTAGTGAACCTCTACAAAATTTTAATCATTCCATGAAGTCAAAAACTTGTTACCCGTGGTTATATTAAGCAAGATGAAAGGTACCTTTAAAGGCTTCTCTTCAGGAACTACAATGCCCGGAGCTCAGATATTTGACAGGCAACGTTCCCATATTGATCTCTCTACAGTTATACAACTCATGCCTGTGGGTAAAAAAAAATGTCCTGTTCCAGGCCTCATATATTCAACATTGACCTATATAGAAGAAGAAAAAAACATTTAAATCCAGAAAAAAACGTATTTTATATTTTCTTGTGTAAAAACTACCTGTGTAACAAATATCAAATTGACCTCTACGAATGTGATCAAAAATACTTCCACCCTAAGATTATATTTGTTACATTGACTTATACGTGAAACCAATCTCAAGAAATAGAATGCCCAAAGCTTAAATAGTTGGAACATAGTATCCTTTCGATCACTTAGTGCATATACTTATATAAGATTATACAGAAAAATGCATTTAAATCTTCATGTGTATAATATTTGGCAAGTGATATTGCCTAGTGGACACCTTTTAAATACAGATTATGGTCATACTGTATAAAATGGTACGGCCTATATGTGACTATTTCTGTATTGAAGCATATAAAAACTTTCCAAGCAATGGATGTAAAATGGGCGCTTTAGGGCCATCATGTTTCTCTTGTAAAACATTCTAACATTCATTTTCAACATATGAGCCGTGTCACGACAAAACTAACATAATGGGTTTGCAACCAGCATGGATCCAGACCAGCCTGCGCATCCGCGCAGTCTGATCAGGATCCATGCTGTTCGCTATCAGTTTCTCTACATGTAATAGGGTTGGTAAGCGAACAGCATGGATCCTGATCAGACTGCGCGGAGGCGCAGGCTAGTCTGGATCCATGCTGGTCGCAAACCCATTATGTTAGTTTTGTCGTGACGCGGCTCATATTCTGATTGCTTTTGTTACGTTGAATACCGGGTCAGGTTTCACATATGCTCGACATTCAGTTTAAAAAGATTGTCCAGAAGCACGTGTTAGGGCGCACGTTAAATCTGCCTAGAATCACGTGTAAGGGCGCACGTTAACTCTGTACTTTACACGCATCATGATATCATGGTCATGCACGCATTAGTTGATTCTTTACAAAGCTAATGCGAATGATTAAACACTTGTTACATTGTCATTTATATATTGAGACACTCATTCCATACTAAAACAAAAGGCATGTTAGAAATGTTATATAAAGATGAATACTGCAAATAATTTGATTAAACTAAGAATTATACTTAATATGACCTCATTATTCCAATTATAACATTTTTGTATAATTTAATTTAATTTTTATCATTTTAAGGCTTATTTCCGCAAAATGAGACGGAAGAAGATGGTGAATTCAAGACAATGAGCGCTGACTATAGCGAGTGTGAAAATGATAAAGTGATTGACCTAACAAATGTTAACTTCAAAGGTAAGGATTATTTGCGCTCTATCTGTAACGTTACTTATGGCTTCCTAACCATGTCGGTGAAAAGCTAGCTCACCAAGAGAGTGGTTTATTCCAGGTTACTATACTTTTCTATATGTTAATTCAACACATATTATAATGCTCATTATGAGTACTATGACATTATACTAACGTCGATACATATTTAAATGAACCGCGTCATGACAAAACCAACATAATGTGTTTGCGATCAGCATGGATCCAGACCAGCCTGCGCATCCGCGCAGTCTGATCAGGATCCATGCTGTTCGCTTACAAACCCTATAACAAGTAGAGGAACTGATAGTGAACAGCATGGATCCTGATCAGACTGCGCGGATGCGCAGGCTGGTCTGGATCCATGCTGGTCGCAAACACACTATGTTGGTTTTGTCATGACGCGGCTCAAATGTATTTTCTTTGCAAATAGATCTGGTATTTCACAGTTTTTAAAGATCCTGTAACACAATTTTTTCATGGTTTTATTTCATAAATATTATGCTCAAATTAAGATTTGTCAATATTGTAAGTTCCAATAAGCATTACTTATAAAGATATTACCAAATTTAACATTTCATTTAAATAAAGGGAGGTAATTAGAAATTTATTTTCAATATATTTTAAGTCAAATTTTCCAATAAGAAATGAATGCATATGCATGTAATTTATTGATTAAATATAATGTGCACAAATATTTGCCGTAACATTTTACATGTTCTTCGATGTTTGAAAATTGTTTTATTTGCATAATTATATACAGATATAATTTTTTTGCAAGTGTGGTATACACACAGTAACAATATCAATCACAAAAGATACAGGATCTTTAACAACAGCCTGAAGGACGACAAAATTATTGTGAATGCACATTTTTATTAAGAACATTGCTATTGGTCTGATGAATTGGAACTTGATTTTTTTTCATTTCTTTAACTTTATTTTAAGAAAAATGAGAAAACAAGTTTCAGATGCCCAGGCTCTTTTTGTTTCTAGCAGGTTGACGCCTTGTTCATACACATAGGAATTGTTAACGTTATATTTTTGTTATTAATGCCCCCCCCCCCCCCCCCCTCAAAAAAAAAAGAAATCCATTTTTGATTTGTTATAACCATTGTATTATGCTTTACGCAAAACAAACTTTTCGTATGAGTATTTTAAACTCATTACAGTGGTCATATATTTTGCATTAACCCTCGGTTAATTTAATAGTTTAAATCCTTATTTCAGTTTAACCACGTTTTAGTATTAAGTCGTTTCAATTATCAATGTTCGCTTAAATGTCTCATTAAACAGTGCCTCCAGAGAGAGAAAACCTACAAAGCGACGAACATCCATCCAAGGTATCCGAGCTACCATGTGATATCTTCTTTCTAAACGATGACACATTTCTTCAAAAGTTTGAAACCTACGACCAACTATCGGGATATCTTGTGAATGCGTCAACACAAGAAAAACCCGGAAAAAAAACACCCGAACTGCTATTTGAAAAGCTTGAGCATCTTCCTTTAAGAAATGCAGAGCATCTGATAAGTGTAGGAGAGTTTTTGAAAAATCTGTATGAAGATGAACAACTGGTTGATGTCGTCATAGACGTGCAGGGTAAAACATTTAACGCTCATCGTATTGCCCTTTGTTGCTGCAGTGATTACTTCACGAATTTTTTCGAACGCAACGATCGGGACAAGCTTCCATATAACATGAAGATAAAAGGCGTTACAATTCAGGCGTTTGCGGCTTTTTTAGAATACTGCTACACAGGGGATATAACCGTCTATCCTTCAACTGCTGCCGATATCATTGTCATGGCCGACTTCTTAAAAGTCGCTGATCTCCAAGGACGATCTCATACAGTGGCGAAAAGTCTGCCATTGGAAAAGAGCATTCAGATGTTAATACAAACACAGACAAAGTCATCGGGAAAACTGTACAAGGTTTTATTCACTCAAGTCCTTCATTCGTTTACGGAGGCCTCCATGGTTGACAATTTCTTTAAAATGGATGTGTCACTCCTTTGCTGGCTGCTTGAGTCAGGTAAAGTGTTTATAGCATTTTAACCTTTAACCTGCTTAATTTGTCTAATTGATTTGCCCTGCTTCTAATTTGAAGAAATCAAATAACTTTCTTTTTAATTTACATGAAACAAACAACACAACAAATAATAATACAAACATTGCAAAGAAAGTAAACAATTAAATCTGGAAGATGACTTAACCCTTTCCCTCATGAGCATATTGTGAAAAATGGCCGTTTTCACAGAAAAGCCTCCTGTTACAAGTTCAAACTGCTATGAAACTATGAAAAATGCTTCAATACTAATCAAACTTGGCACAAATGTTGATTGGACCATTGCCTTTGTAACGACATGCTCAGTCTTAAATGTTACCATGGCAACGAGGGGACATCTCAAAATTGCCAAAAATCGCTATTTTGCCTCGATTTTTTCCATCAAAATTTATTTCAAAGTGCTGCAACTTCTCAAGGGATTGAGATAGAGTCAAAGGCTTTTCAGCGTTGGTTACACGTTACCTTATGATCGACCTTGGGTCATTTTTAGCCTCTCACAAGTCCAAAATTTTCTTGGCGATGAGGGGGACTCCGCCCCCTTCAAACCCCAAAGGGGGCACATCCCCCTTCTGACAATCCCCTGATGTATCTTTTGGATGGGGGGGGGGGGCGCCGAAAAAGTGCTCACTTTTTTTAGCAACATTTCTCAAACAAAAACTTGTGTTTGGGGCCCAAATAGGTTTTTTTTCCTATTTCAGGCCTAAAAAAAAGGGGGGGGGGTCGAAAGTGCGTTGTTTCGCGTATATATGAGGTAAAGGGTTAATGAACTTTCTGCATTATTGCTTTTACAAAACATTGCGAGATTAAGCAAAATATTTCTGTTATCACTACACATTAAAACCTGAAAATTTAAAATACTAGGAAACCTTGAATAGTAATTACTGATATACTTGTGTCTTTCATGAGTAAAATAACTATATTTAGAAATATAATGAAATTCATCACCTATTTCTTGCTGGTTACAAAGTGAGCAGGTTCTTCTTTCTCTTGCAATACAGCAGTTTCCAAACGTAAAATTTAATGATTTTATTTGAGACCACATCATTAATTAATCAATCAATCAATCAATCAATCAATCAATTAATTAATATATTTTTATTTCAGACGAGTTGGTAGCTCCATCAGAATATGATATATTTACCATTGCACTGAGTTGGATCGTACATGATGTAGATAATCGTGTAAAATTCACAATGCGAATATTGTCGTTTATAAGGTATTTAGAATACAATGTACATGTATATACATAGAAATAAACTTCTGTGTCTTAATTTTTGGACGCCATTTATTGAATAATGAATAAGTTATATATAGGTTGTGTTAAATTGTTAAATATTGTATCACGTGCTTCTGCTTATTATTTCATCATGTGTTGAATAGGTTTAATTGTGTTGAATATATTATCAGGTGAATACTTTATTATGTGTTAAGTAAGTTATCATGTGGTGAATTCGTAAATTCTTGCCATGTGTTGAATATCTAAAGCATGTGTTGAATACTTTATCACGTGCTGAATATCTTAATCATATGTTGAATATCTTAGCCATGCGTTGAATATTTTATCATGTGTTGAATACCTTAGTCATGTGTTGAATATTTTATCATGTGTTGAATATTTCATCATGTGGTGAATTCTCAACATGTGTTGAATATTTTGTCACGTGCTGAATATTTTAATCATGCGTTAAATATCTTAATCATGAGTTGAATATCTTAGTCATGTGTTGAATATGTTAATCATGTGTTGAATATCTTAATCATGTGTTGAATATATTAGTAATGTGTTGAAAACTTTTCCATGCGTTGAATACTTTATCATATCTTGAATATCTTATCGTCAAATACAGACCAACATTTCACACATACCGTTTGTGTTTTTCAGGTTTAATTGTATGAGTCGACAGGAGTTATTCCTTTGTAGTGAAACTACAAGTTTGATGCGTGGATATGACAAATTTCGAGAAATGCTTCTCATTGCAAACTGGTATGGTATTGTTTGGTTACTTCATTTATTCTTATTCTCTTTATTTTATATAATTTAGCCGCGTCACGACAAAACCAACATAATGCGTTTGCGACCAGCATGGATCCAGACCAGCCTGCGCATCCGCACAGTCTGATCAGGATCCATGCTGTCCGCTTACAAACCCTATTACAAGTAGAGAAACTGATAGCGAACAGCATGGATCCTGATCAGACTGCGCGGATGCACAGGCTGGTCTGGATCCATGCTGGTCGCAAACCCATTATGTTGGTTTTGTCGTGACGCGGCTCATATAAAAACGTGTCTTCATTGTCACATTTTTCGTTTGTGATGTTCATAAATACTATTGGCATTGATACAATGTGCTCAAGTTACATTTTCTTTCGAATGATTCTAGTGTATTAAAAAACAATGCGTTTTTTAAAGACAATGTATTGCTTAAAAGCACACCATGCCCCAAAAAACAAATGTTGTTTTTTTCCCTTCTGTAGAAAGAACAAATGTGAGCTTTAAAGCGTTGAAAAAAATGGTTTTAGATAATGTTAGAAGCTTATCACCAAAAGAAAGCAGCGCTGAATGTGAAATTATTTGAAAAAAAGTAGCAAAATGTAAACTAAGTAGTATTTGGACATCCATACAAAATACTGAATCACTATAAATGTACTGATTATTCAGAAGCGAAAGACGATTCAGTTAATGTGACATTATGCCCATCTAAAGGTATACCGGTATAGTGAGGGAAAAGGTGAAAGTCATTTTGCCATGATTTCTTTCAATTTTATTTTATGGCCAAAGAAATTTATGTAAATATCAGCCGGAACTTAATTGTTGAGTTCAATTTATAAAAACAGTGGGAGAGTCTTTTTAAATTTTAAGCAGAAATATATTTAATCCTAACTAAATCATATCTTCAAATATCAACTTTAATCAATCAAACTATTATAACAATCAATCTTTTGAAATACAGAGTTAGTTCAGCTCGACTTTTTACAATGAATTCAAATTGAATTTTTAAATGCAAGAGATGGTAAAATTTTAAATCTAGTAAACGAAGGTTCTTTTGTCAGATTTCAGGGTCTTTCAAATGAAATGCGTAAATGCAGAAATGTTCATTATAATTACTTAGATTCATTGCATAGGTTATTTATCAAATTTAACTATTCTAAGCTTATGGTTAATCATTAATCATTAAGATTATTTTAAATTGTTAATGAAGTTATTGAATATTGATAAAATCTATTCTTTCGAAATTGCTTTTTTGTCTACGCGCATGCGCGAAATGCTACTTCCGTTTCTATTGAAATATTTTAATGTAAAAATGTCTATAAAAGGACATAATATTTGTCTCCACATAACTGTAGGCGCCATTTAATTTTAAGGATACTAACAGCCGACAATCTTGGACGCAATGACCCCTTCAACTTTCCACGGCCTAAACCAAGACTTTGCTTCCTCCAGCGAGGAGTTGCGGTAAGTTTTATATGTTCTGCTTTATCTGAAATATTTAGATATAGAGGATATTTGTTTAGTTCAGTGTAAGATCGGAATATATTTCACCGAGTGAGCACCAAAAGGTATATTTTACGAGTGGCGCAGTCACGAGTGTAATATGAACTTTTGATGTTCACGAGGTGAAATAGATTCTATATTTCGATCTTACATTAAACTAAACAAATTTTCTTTTTATTATATGCAAAGAAACTATAAAAATAAATTTTAAATAACCTAGTACTACATGAAAAGGGCGCCAAATAATAATACATTGTAACGTCATTTACGACGTCACGTCATTAAGTTGGTACCCAGTACTTTGAACGCTTGTATTTCACTGAAACAACGTAACGGGCTCAAATATTCAAAACAGTGAAATTATCAAATTGATATTTTCACTGTTTGAAACAGTGAAATTATCAGTTTTTATTTCACTGATATATTTCTATTAACCACCGAAAAGCTTGTAATAAACTTTGATAATACTTTTTTTTATAAGAGCACCATTTTTAATTCGTTTATGAACCAATGTATGTTGTTCTCAGTATTTACGCGTGGAACTCATGTCATTAGAAAGTCCAAATGATTTCAGGCATGATATTGTCTGTACTACTAGTATTCTAGTATAAAATAGTATAATAGTATAACTAGTATAAAACGCATTAAACTTTTTATTTTGATACGAGGGATTTCATAAATTGCTTTGACAATTTAAATAATATCTTTAAAAGTTTTATTAAATATAAGCAAACAACGCAATTTGAAACTTTTGGTGACACCCACCAGCATATCTTGAACATTATGTATATTATCAGCGGCTCCGGTTATATCTCCAAACAACCGTTTATATAGGGCCATATAACCTGTAGGAAATATTTATAACGAATTTATGATACAGCAAGCATCATTTTTAGAAAAAAATGTAAGATTTCTTCATAAATATCAATATATTATTAGTTTTAAAGATTTTTGACAGGTTATACGACCCTATAAAAAACCAATAGCTGTTTGGAAATATAACCCGAGCCGCCATGCCAGAGTTTTATTGCAAACAACCGTTTATATAAGTCATATACACTGTCAGGAATATTTATAACGAATTTATAATACAGCAAACTACCTTTTTGAAAAGAAAAAGTAAGTCTACTTGGAAAATTGACAGCAGCCATGTATATAAAACTATTTATACGTCACGATTCTCCAATGAAAAATAAAATCTCTTGAAAATTGGTGATTTGTTTCCTTAAATGGTGTAGATAATTATTATCTATTCTATTTTTAATGAATATAAATTAATTAATAAAATGATAAAATTGGTATTTGGATTAAATTTTTAAACAAAAATGCATTGTCCGAGCACTGTTCTGAAACATTGATACTGAAAAATAAAAAAAATATGAACATATTTCATTTTTTGTATTATTGATGGAAGTATACTATAAAACACATATGTGGATAGTCTAAAATTATAATTTTGAAAATTAGACCTTGTCATGTTTCTTAGGTCTTTACTTTGTTTTCTCCATTTTCCGAAATTGAGGGTGACCATACTGAAACACAAATATCTAGAGTTGTAGATGGTAAAAGTCGTTAAAATCCTGCAATAACCTGCTTAAATATTATATATTTGAAAAAAGAAATGTTTCTTTGTTATTCTTGAAAGTGCCCATTAGGGTCCGTTATCCTTAAAAACGTGCAGTATCATAAATGCGTCACAACTTTCCATTGAAGGCGACGTTAGCAGTATTATTTAATAGTCTTAAAACATCTTGATAACATTGATTATCACCAAAAGTATCTCGTGCGCACCACTTAATGATCTCTTGCGCTCGACTTAGTAACTCGTGGCCACTACATATTATCTCGTGCTCACCACTTAATTATCTCGTGCGGACGACTTAGTAACTCGTAGTTACGACGTTGTTCTCTTTCGCACCACTTAATTATCTTGTGCGCATGACTTAGTAACTCGTGCGCACGACATAGTATCTCGTACGTACGGGATCAATGATACACACACGTGTCACCTGTGTGCCACCGTACAATATAGGTGAAATATTGAGTGTACATTCGTATAAATTATGCAAAATATTACTTACGAAGTGTTTTTTTTTGCAATTAAAAGGTTACAACACCTGTCAACAGCCCGAAACAGCAAGCTAATATTACGATACGAATGCCGCCGCCTATTATGACGTCAACACCAAAACCATATCGAAACTCAAATGCAACGTCACCGAACGAAAATTACAATGCGTCAGATTTCATGGACATATTTGTCGTCGGCGGTTTTATTTCCGACGGCAGCACACAACAGAGTGAGTATTAACCTTAATACTTTCGGTAAATGTGTTTGCAGAAAGTCTGATACATCATATTCATATGACATTCTCATATAAATTTACTTTCATATCGCATTTATATATAGAGGATATTTGTTTAGTTCATTGTGAGATCGGAATATATTTCACCGAGTGAACACAAAAAGGTATATTTCACGAGTGGCGCAGCCACGAGTGAAATATGAACTTTTGGTGTTCACAAGGTGAAATATATTTCAATCTTACACTAAACTAAACAACTTTTCTTTTTATTATATGCAAAGAAACGTTTTAAAAGGACATTTAACCTAAAACTGAATGAAAAGCGCGCCAAATAATAATACAACGTGACGTCATTTACGACGTCACGTTATTAAGTTGGTACCCAGTACTGTGTACGCTGGTATTTCACTGAAACAACGTAAGGGGCTTAAATTCAAAACAGTGAAATTGTCAAAGTGGTAATTTCACTGTTTCAAACAGTGAAATTACCAGTTTTAAATCACTGATATATTTCTATAAACCACCGAAAAGCATGTAATAAAGGTTATTATTTTCTATTTTAAATTTTAACATCCAATCGCTGTTTTTTTTAATTGTACCACGTGACTATCCAAAATTTTTCAATATATAATTGTCCAATATTGGACAGTTAATGTTAAATGCGTTCGATCCTTTGCCGAATGACAAAAGTATCCGAATGAACTCTACTTACAACGTTGCTAACGTTTTATTTATTTATTTATTTTTTTTTTTTGGGGGGGGGGGGTTGGGCGGGGGTAATTTGGTGGTTAGGGTATCCACATAAAAGTGCTTATAAAATGAATTTTTAATTGAAATGGTTAAATAGAGTACTTTGATAAAGTTATAAGCTTGATCAGGTTATGACAGGTATCTTACCTTAAGGACGTTTTCAGTTTTCATACAGGCAGAATAAAAACTGTCAACGTTATTTCTTTACACTGGCATGTTGTTAGAATATGATGATAGAAATATTTCAAGCGAAGAAATAGTTGGGTGTAACTTTTGTTTTGATCTTACCTTGAATCAGAACCATTCAAAGCTATTTCAAAGTGTTAACAATTTCAACATTACACTTAATATTCTTCTCTTTGGCAACCCAGATATCTCTGACACAGATAATGCCACTAATTTTAAGTATGTTCATATTTACATATCGGAAACAAAACGATTTCTCTGATGTAATTGTGAGATACTCTTTCTCTCTTTCTCTCCTTCCCTTAATTTAAACAATTTTACTATTTAGTAATGTTTTGTTACGTACAACATCACATTAGTCAGTATCTCCCAGTCATTTTTAATTGCTGTATAATTTCATACTTGTATTACATTATCGCATCTTTATTTTTTCCAAATATTTCCATTCCCCAGTTGTTATACTTTTATATAGTACAAAACTCGCCACATTATACAAACACACTAAAAAGGAGAAGAATTTAATAAGACTTAGTCTTTCGTTCTCATCCTTTTCCTGAATATTAAATGTTTTTGTATTGTATATGTATATGTTTATTTGTAGCTTATATATTTGGGAAATAAATATGTTTAAACTAATCAGAACTATTTACTAATTTGGGAAGATAACTTATATATACGTCTACAAATCTACATTATGTTTTTTATTGTTCATAACAGTATATAATAACATGCAATCCCTTAAATTATTTCTGCTACAATTTTTCATTTTAAATAAAGATACTTAAAATTAAAATTGAAAAAATACATGTATGTCATTTTTGAAAAAAAAAGTAAAAAAAACCCAAAACGGCACGGGTTTAGAGAAGAAGGAAAGAAAGACAATTCGCTGTTTATACGTTTTTGAAATTTTGCACATTGACTTAAATGAAAGAAGGATGAATAAAATTTAGAAAAAATAAGGTATCGCTTACCCTCATTGTGAATTATATGCCCTTGAATTAAGCAAAAAAAAAAGTCCAATTGAGGGGCATATAACTCAAAAACGAGAACTGCGACCCCCAATTTTCTTTCTGGTTATCATTTTCTAACAACATGCTAAATTTGAAGAAATTATATCAACTGTTTTAACTTTTGCATGAATAATTTTTATTTGCATTTCCTTAATGTATAATTTGGATATTGAATAAACAGGTTATTAAACATTTAACAAATACATTACTGAAACATGCTTGGTTTCGTACACAGCTTTAGAAATCATATTATTTCCCTATTTTACAGTTTAATGTTAAATAACCTATAATTATTACACTGAACTATACAGGAACATATAAGACGGGTACATAACTAGGGAAATCATATTGGACGATAGGGTAGGCGAGTCCAATATAATTTCAGAAGATATGTATGAGTACAAATATATTCCATATTCTTACAATACAATTTGATATGAAATGATTATTTGTATGACATAAAACCACATTTGTTACATACATTAAGGTTTTGTCGCCTGAGAGTTGTTGGGAATTTGGCTGCATGGTTAGATACATACATATATATACGAGCCGTGTCACGACAAAACTAACATAATGGGTTTGCGACCAGCATGGATCCAGACCAGCCTGCGCATCCGCGCAGTCTGATCAGGATCCATGCTGTTCGCTTACAGACCCTATAACAAGTAAAGAAACCCATTATGTTGGTTTTGTCGTGACACGGCTTATATTCTTTTTATATTTTTATTCCTCAGCAAAATATATTGAACGATATGACATTGTTGATAACCAGTGGTTGCAGTTCTCTGGTTTGCCGTCACCAACACGCCGCCATGCCGTGGTATCCCTTGGCAACAAGCTGTACCTGATTGGTAAATATAATTATTACTTTTGTTTCCATGAATTTCAAAAAATATCACGCTTTATAAATTACTTATTGAATTAATCACTAAAAGAGACACTTTTACATTCAGCAATGTCCAACATTAAAAAGTTATGTTTGTCAAAAACAATAAAGTTAAAGTTTTAAACAGATATATACATTATTTTAACTAAAATAAACAATTATTTTCACAGTCTGCTTTGATAAAAGAGTCAACGTTTGTCATTATTATCACTATGACATATAAGTAATGAAGATGGCATATATTGTGCATACATGTACCTATGTATTGTTATTTAAATTCAATAAAGCGTTGAAATTGAAATTGTGAAATCATGTTGTTGAAATCGTGAATTCGTGAAGTTGAAATTTTGAATTCGTGAAGTTGAAATCGTGAATTCATGAAGTTGAAATCGTTAATTCATGAAGTAAAATCGTAAATTCATGAAGTTGAAATCGTTAATTCGAGAAGTTGCAATCGTGAAGTTCAAAACATACATTCGCGAAATTTAAATCGTAAATCTCAAAACGTGAATTCACGAAGTTGATTGAATTCGTGAAGTTGAAATCGAGAATTCATGTAGTTGAAATTGTGAATTCGTGAAGTTGAAATCGTGAATTCATGAAGTTGAAATCACGAATTCGTGAATTCTGTATGTTGAAAACGTTAATTCACGAAGTTAATATTGTGAGTTCACGAAGATAAAATAGGGAATTAATGAAGTTGTAATGTCCCCACCGGATTTTCGTACTTGTCCCTAGCTTATTTCACTACACAGGACAGTTATTTGTGAGTAAAAGCATGACGTGTTTCTCTATTAAGGTGGAAGTGAACCTTGTAGTAAGGATGTACCTCCTGTACCGAGAAACTCCGTGTACAAAATGGACATGGACACAAAGAAATGGACACAGATCTGCGATATGAATGTTTACAGACATAGCCATTGCGCATGCGCTCTGAACGGACGAATTTTCGTCATAGGTGGCAAAGGAAAATATGAAAGGTGAGAAACATTTTAAAGATAAACAGCCCTATAAAATCATTTTGTCTCCAACTTAAGGCTATATGTATATATCTAGCTAATCCATCATTAAAGACCATCATGTACTTTTCGTTTGAACAGTTACCGATAATCATGTTACAAAATCAACGTTAATTAAGAACGCGTCTGTGCCTATTGATAAACGTAGCTAGTACATATTGTTTTTCTTCTGCTGAATACAATTAAGTTTTCCGGTTTATTTATAGACATAGAACATACTTGTATCCATTCTAAGTATATATATTAAAGAATTTCACAAATATTTATTTTCACAACTACTAATTTTCACATATACTTATTTTCACAAAAAGTCTTATACACAAATACTTATTTTCACACATACTTATTTTCACAAAGACTTATTTGTATAAATACACATTTTTCCATTTTTTATTTTTACAAATACACATTTTCACAAATACTTATTTTCACATATACTTATTTTAAAAAACAAATACTTATTTTCACAAATACACATTCTTCCAAATACATATTTTCACAAATACACATTTTCTCAAACACACATTTTCACAAATACTCATTTTTACAAATACATATTTTCACAAATACTCAATTTTACAAATACATATTTTCACAAATACTCATTTTTACAAATACATATTTTCATAATTACTTATTTTCGCATATACTTATTTTCACAAATACTTATTTTTACAAATACATATTTTCACAAATATTCATTTTCACAAATACTAATTTTCACAATACACATTTTCACATATACACATTTTCACAGATACTCATTTTTACAAATACATATTTTCACAAATACTCAATTTTACAAATACATATTTTCACAAATACTCATTTTTACAAATACATATTTTCATAATTACTTATTTTCGCATATACTTATTTCCAAAAATATTTTATTTTACAAATACATATTTTCACAAATATTTAATTTTATAAATACTTATTTTCACATTACACATTTTCACAAATACACATTTTCACAAATTCTCATTTTTACAAAGACATACTTTCACAAATACTCAATTTTACAAATACATATTTTCACAAATACTCATTTTTACAAATACATATTTTCACAATTACTTATTTTTGCATATACTTATTTTTACAAATACTTATTTACACAAATACTAATTCCCATATACTTATTTTCACAAATACTTATTTTCACATATACTTATTTTCGCAAATACTTATTTTCACAAATACACATTTTCAAAAATACATAATTTCACAAATACACATTTTCAAAAATACATATTTTCATTCACAAATACTTATTTTCACAATACACATTTTCACAAATACTCATTTTTGCAAATACATATTTTCAAACATACTTATTTTCACAGCATCTTACTGTCTGTTGAATGCTATGACCCGGCGACGGAAGGTTGGTTCTTTGTTCCATCATTACCAAAGCCAATATTCGGCGCCAGTGCAGCAGCCCTAGGCCCTAATATCATTGTAGCCGGTGGGATAGCATGTGAAGCTGAGAAACCTTCGATATTATCCGTACAAAATGTCGTTTACAGTTTCAATCCGACCTCAGCTGGGTTTGTCAAAAATATATTTCTTTTAGTTACACAAATTTATAATAATCTAGTTATTTACTACATTACATTGAAGCACCGTTATATTATATTATTATACGCTTAACATGTTGTGTTTGCAGTACTCATAACTTTCAGAACGATTGCCACAATACTTTTTTTGCACCGTTTTTGAAAATAAGTATGATTATTGTTACATGCTTTTGGCGTCTTCACATTTATTTTTCTCAGTGAGTGAATTACTTTGAATGTAAACCGATGCCAAAATCTTATTGTAAAGTTACCCGCGTAGTTAAACACCAAATATAGAAACCACTGTCTTGTCAACAAACGAAACTATAATGTATCATAATAGTATGAATTTCTCGTTTGTCTGCTTCACTACTTGTATTTCTATTTTACTTTTCGTATCAAAGTTTATATTTACGTTTACTACTTGTTTTGTCCTGTACCACAGTTTTACAACATGATTAAATGATAAAACTCTGCCGTATGTTGCGGTTAGGACCGAACTATCCGTACCAAGGTGCCTGGTAATTGAATTGGCTTCTATGTTATAAACAGTTTACATTTTTCTGTTTTCTTGAATATTAAAGGTGGTTTAATATTATTTTCAGCTGGACAAGATTGCACCAATTGAGGTTTCCACGATGTTTGTCTGCACTTGTGAACGTTGAAGGCAGACTGTATTTGTGCGGCGGTGCTACACAGTCAAACGATTCGAAGACCACCCTCTGTAGTGTTACCGCTGTTGATAGGTACGACGCTGTTAAGGACGAATGGAATCACGTGACCGACATGGTTATACCGAGACATGACTGTGGGGCTGCGGTCGCAGGTAATACTTGTAGATATAAAGCATTTTGAATCAACTTTTATAATAGCATTTATTATTATGTTATAACATTTTATACAGGATATTGAAAGTGTGTATGTTCAGTACTGATTAATTGAACGAGTTGAATAAAATCATATTTTGCGAACCTCTATTTATTCAACGAGTTCAATAAATTCAGTAATGAACTTACACGAATTTAATATTCTATTTATCACATACCGTTTAAAGTGACAAAGAGTCATTTTTTATTGACGCGGCGCCTACAGTGTATAGAGGATATTGAATGAGTGTAAGTTCAATACTGAATTTATTGCACGAGTTGAATAAAATTATATTATGCGAGCCTCTGGCGAGCATAATATTATTTCATTAACGAGTGCAATAAATTCAGTAATGAACTTACACGAATTTAATATTCTATTATCACATACCCAAAATAAAGAACGTTTAAAGTGAATTAAGAGTCATTTTTCATTGACCCGCCAATAGTATAATGCTGACATTAAGCGCGTCTTTACGGAGGTCGCAAAATCGGCACGGATGTGTGATAAAACGCTAACATTTAGCGCGTCTTCACACTCAATCTCCTACGCAGTGATCTCCCCTTATCAGTACATAATCTGTAAAGGGAGGTAATCACTGTGAGGAGTTTGCTTCACACTAGTATGTTTGCATATGTAAATGACGTCACGTCAAAATATAAACCATTTCTACGGAGTCGCAAAAGCGGCACGGATATGTGATAAAAAAGTTTTTTTTATGGTTTTATTTTTGTAATTTTTGTTTCCTTTTCTCACATTTTTTAAACATTCACAAAATGTTAATTCGAAAGCAACAACAAGAACACTTTAAAGCAATTTACATGTTTATCATCAAATGAGCCGCGTCACGACAAAACCAACATAATGCGTTTGCGACCAGCATGGATCCAGACCAGCCTGCGCACCCGCGCAGTCTGATCAGGATCCATGCTGTTCGCTTACAAACCCTATAACAAGTAGAGAAACTGATAGCGAACAGCATGGATCCTGATCAGACTGCGCGGATGCGCAGGCTGGTCTGGATCCATGCTGGTCGCAAACCCATTATGTTGGTTTTGTCATGACACGGCTCAATTATTTATTTTAGGTTATTCAAATCAACACATTTTTTCTGTAATTAACATTCATTTTTTATTCAATGTCAACAGGAAGCCGTATATATATGATCGGCGGAGTATCAAGCCCACCTGACCGCGTTCTACAGTCCATTGAATGTTATGACACGATGGACCGTTGCTGGGTTTCTGGAATTCAGGATTTACCTTACCCAGCTCGATGGATCTGCTGCTGTTCTGTTCCTTCTAAACCAACCAAGCAATGAACTTAGCTTTACAGAACTCACATTTTGAACTTACATTTTACACGGAAACTTTTATATTTTGGAATATCCGACATTTTGCAAATTTTATATTTTATATTTTCCTTTTAAAGTTTTTTCGCAGATATTTCAACTTGTTTTCTTTTTATCAGATATTTTGTGTATCTTTTTTTTGGACAGGGACTGTTAGGGATGGTTTCTATAGTGATTTACTTGGATTAACAGCTTATGACATTATGTTAATATATCATGTCAAAGTATATACATGTAGTATGTTAAAAAAACAGCACTTTTTTTGTTTTATATATAACCATCTGCAATTTTATATGACTTTCCTTATTGTTCCTTTTCAAATTTTTTAAGTCTAATGTAGAATTTTTATTAAAGGAACAATGTACAGACGCTGTTTTTCATGCTTCCATTTGAAACTTCTTGGATGTCGCCAAAGTTGCACATGTAGTCCTTCTCCAAGAGGCATTCAAGTTGTACATACGTTTTTAAGTAAAAATGACGTCAGCAACAACAGCCGACGTCATTTGTGACGTAGTAATCTACCATTGTTTCAGTTACAAGGCTATCTGTGTAGTCCAAGTCGAATAAGTAACACATTTTCTGCAATTTATTAAACGCAAAAGAGCTACATGCGTTGCTAGGTAACATACACGAGTGGGCACATTTGACTTTTGTAGAGATATGAAAGCTTGCTACAGGAATGACATTGTGTTGTGGCATCTCTCCACTCGATGTAAGACGAAAATAGCCTCTTCCAGAATGACATTGTTCAACTGAAGAGAAGTTCATCTTATTAACAACGATTTTAATGACCTATGTCTGACAAGATTCAGCATTTTCCATTAATGTCAATTTACGGAGCACTAACAAAAGGACTGACTCACTACAGTGTTAGAGCAGTACCTATAGACTCTTGCAGAAATAAAATCCTTAAATGAGGATAACGTAGGGCCTTAAATAACAAAAATATCCTTCTGCAACTATTTTACATGTGTTTACTTATTGCCATTTCACGACACGAAGCTCTCGTCAAATTTTCTTCAGGATGCAGCTCTTGTCATGGCATTTAATGTCTGAGCTTAGCAGACCAAAATTGCTTTGATAATATTAGCAATGGGTAAAGTTCAGATTATAATGCTGTTGATACAAAATAATATCTTAAATGAAAATAATAAAGTGGAAAATTTATATCAAAGTTAAAATACAATAATCTGACCTGTTTTGACTCCCATGTAAGACGGCCACAATGTTGGCATGCATCTGCTTACAGCTATATCATAATCTGCAGACGATATTTTTGCATCGTAGAACTGAAAACACGTGACCTTTCCTAGGTAACAACTGTAACCAGGATAAAATGCACCACCTATTCGTACTTTTCCTGGTAATCCTAAAACTTTATCTTCCACGTACATTTTTATTTTGGTTGATTCAGTCCCTACGTAGAAGTACATTACCTTCATTTCCTCGAAACTTGTTGAGTCGTAAACAACAAGGATTGGCAGGAAGTGGCCATCTTGAAAATTCGAAACTAATGAAGCTGTATGTAAAATATCTTCAGAAGATTCGCCAGTTATGTATAAAAATGTTGTCATATTCTCGTAGTAAAGTATGATATTAATTATTTCCGTGCTGCTGCCTGTTTGAATATGTTTCTGGTAATGAAGAATTGTCCCGTTGAAGCCTTCTGGTGAAACTAAAATCATGAGTGAAAAATCATTTATTGTATTTCTCGTTTCGAAATTGACGTCTATATATGAATCTTCACAACCTTGTAATTTTAGACCACTGTAATCTAATAGCGGATGTCCACTGGTGCTTGATGTGCAGCGTGCATTTCCGGCGGATGAATTTGCGACAATTTCTGTTGTTGGATAGTTCGGAGAGAGAGGCCAGACATAAAATGGACGCGAATAGGCAAATGATGTACGATAACCTAGGGTTTGAAATAAAAAATACAATTATTTATTATATACTTATAAACGAAACATTGAGAAATACTGATGAAATAAAATGCGTATTTTCATTTTCCGTATTTTCAATGTAAAAAATATTTTTCACTGCAGTGAAACATATTTTCCGTATTTCACTGGTGTCTTGCCGGACTACTTTCTGCTATATACAAATAATATACAAAATTTAAGAGAAAGTCATTCAAATTCTGAAATAAGAGAAAAAGTAAAAAATAAACAGAAAATTCAAGTTTTTTTTCTACAAATACAGGATTTATTTTCATCTTGTGGCATGAAAATTATCATATTCCACTCGTGGCTACCGCCACTCATGAAATATTTATTTTCATACCACTCGATGAAAACAAATACCGTATTTATAGAAAAAAACTTGAATATCCTCTATATATTGTTAAATATATGTACATGTTTATAGACAGGAAATTCAAGATTTTTTTTCATAAATACAGGAAATATGGTAATTTTCATACCACGAGATGAAAATAGTTTTCATAAATTTTCTGTTTGTTACAATGTAAATTCGAAAAAATCCCTTTTCTTAAATGCATTGCCTGAATTAAAAAGAAAGTAGTCAGTACGGAAATATCCAAATACGGAAAATATGTTTCAACTGCAGTGAGAAAAATTCACAATAAAAATACGGAAAATGAAAATATGCATTTTATTTTATCAATAGTTAATTATAACATTTAAGCATATAATAAATATATTACTAAAAAAGTAAAGAGTATACAGTCATTTATTCTTCTGATATGAAAAAGAATGTAAATATTTTAATATCTTTAACTTGTATTTGACTTTAGGTATGCACATGTCTTTTGTAAATATCAGTTCCTACCCGGTTCAAACACTAATACGTTTAACTCGACATTTCGTTATCTCGATATGTTTAGGACGATCCCATAGACTTCGAGTTAACTAGAGTCGACTGTATATTATTTATTGTTTATGGCAAAGTTAAGTAATTTTTACACAGCTTATAATAATAAAAAATCAACTAATGTAATAACATAATAATAATAATAATTATAATAATAATAATAATCATCATCATCACAACCATCATCATCATCATCATCACCATCATCATAATCATCATAATATTTATAATAATTATGATGACAAAATAACAAAATAACTGTACTGATTATACTAACGACTGATATGAAAATAGCAATTATCAACATCATCGTCACCATCATCATATCAACATCGTTATCATCATATATTCATCAGCTACAGCAGCTCGATCGACAACAACAACCACTATCACCATTATGACAATTATGATAATAACAAATAATTTTCAATCTTTTAAAATGTATTCACATTTAAGAAATATTCATAAGATACTAAAATATATGTAATAAATATAAGGAACTTAGACATGCCTTGTAAAGTGAATATAACAGCTAACATCGTATCCATGGTAATGCACGTGCTCCAGGTACCCGACATAATCTTAGCTATAATGTACAGGCTCGTGCTTCATCCGCCACAACTTTTCTACCACTGAACTCTTACCTGATATAGCAATGGACTTCTTGAGTTAAAGGTTAAAAAAAGACTTACATAAGATTGATTTTTATAAGAATCTTATAATCCGGGTGTAAAATGAAAGTTTGTGATAATCTTGCTTCTATACGGACAATGAACCGGATATTGTTGAAAAGAATACGGAAATTAATTCGAATTTACCGTACAAAGCATAAAATAATCCTGAACTGATTTAGTAAATCCGAACTGAAAAGTCCGTCTTAGATATGCTTTCGTAATTATTTTCACCCAGGTGCATCTCTGACTTAATGATAATTAATTTTCTTTCATACATTTAACAATATGAATACATCGATTCTTATTTTCTTCAGCTTATCATTTGCTAATCAAAAGGATACAGTATTGAATGATGTACACAAATCATGTTATTCAAATCAATTGATTTAATGAGGTTAAATAAAGGATATTTGTTTAGTTCAGTGTAAGATCGGAATATATTTCACTGAGTGAGCATCAAAAGGTATTATTTCACGAGTGGCGTGGCATTGGGTGTTCACAAATTTTCTTTTTATTATATGCAAACGACATTAAACCTAATACTGAATGAAAAGCGCACCAAATGATAATACAATGTGCCGTCATTTACGACGTCACGTCATGAAGTTGGTACCCAGTACTGAGTACGCTGGTATTTCACTGAAACAACGTAATGGGCTCAAATTCAAACCAGCGAAATTATCAAAGCGGTAATTTCACTGTTAATTACCAGTTTTATATCACTGATATATTTCTATAAACCACCGAAAAGCATGTAATAAATAACAACCGCAAATGCTTCAACTGTTGTGAAAATGAATACAGTGATGTTACACAATGTAACTTATATGTAGACATTACACTTCATCTGACAGATCAGTTACAATATGACCAGTTAGAAAATAGAGTCGCGTAAAACCTTAAATGGTAATGAATAGTTGTCCGTCGTGAATTTCACTGAACTGTAATAACTTAATCATGACTGACCGAAGATCACAGTTACCATTGTCATGCCATTTTATGTTCTACATAATTGAGCCGCGCCATGACAAAACCAACATAATGGGTTTGCGAGCAGCATGGATCAAGACCGCGCAGTCTAATAAGGATCCATGCTGTTCGCTTACAAACACTATTACAAGTAGAAAAACTGATAGCGAACAGCATGGATCCTGATTAGACTGCTCGGATGCGCAGGCTGGTCTGGTTCCATGCTGGTCGCAAACCCACTATGTTGGTTTTGTCGTGACACGGCTCATATGTGTTCAATTCAATGCGTCCATTTTTGTCTATCTGACTTAAAAGTAATGACATGTTGTTCACCGATGTTGAACTGTTTTTGTTTTTAATCTGATTTAATAGTCGATGATTGCCATGGCATTTTATGATAGGCACCAAAGTTTATTTTGTTTGTCTTTTCATAAATCTGAAAAAAAACCTGTTGTGATTGCCGTTGTATGTGTAAAGTGGAATTCACATTTAATCTTTTACAAATGAGATTAGCTGAATGTGTTGATATCATAATACAGTAAAATAAACGCATGGTATTATAAATTTATTTATATCTTTAGTGTAAAAATATCGCTTAAAAACTAAAATAAAGGTAGTACCGAATCTTTGCTGCTACAAAACGTTTTCAACAATAGCTAATCTGCTGATTTTTTTTCAAAGTGGTTCCAATGATGTTTAATTGGATTATTCAATCGATTTGATAAGTTTGATTGTTTTTTTTTTATTCAAATACATGTATGAATTGGATGTGAAAATACAACATTGCTGTCACACCCATTACAGAAATTAGAAAATAGATTATTTCGTTGCAGTATCTCATTACATACGTATTTACAAATACAACAATTGTGTGGTTGAAAGAAAAAATACAAATCATAATAAGAATATAAAAAAGTTTAATAACATTCTAGAAATTTTGAGTTGTCTAGTTTCAAACGGAAAACAGACAGTTACAAACAAAGAACAAAGAAAGAACATCACAATATCCTTATCATTCAACGAAATACAGAGTATAACTTTATTTTCTGATTGAAATACATACAAAGTATAATACAATACACAACACTTGATCAATGTTCTTCACATGGACATTCTTAAATAAAAAATTATATTCAGCATATCAATACAGAATCAAATATTCTAGTCTTACAAATTTTCATACGTATGCTTTTACAATTAACATTTCTTAAATATTGTTAAAAAATAACTTCAAAACATTCACAAAATATATAATTTAATGTTCTATACCTCAGTATTACATAAAGAACAACGATTATTTTCAGCTACTTTACGTTTAGTCGTCTGTGGGTAAAATATTATGAGCAATTTTATATTGTAGCCGATGTATATATACATAAAACAAATCTGTATATTTTATTCCACTTAATTTAATTTAATATTTCATTTGTAAACAAACATGAGCATGGTATATATGTATTTTGGATTAGCGTTTTATATATGTATTTATTTTAAATATTCTTTACCAGTATTGTAAACACAATTGTTTTTTTTTTCGCAAATGCTACGAAGTTCTCCGAAGCGATCTTTCAAATTTCTATTAGAAATAATATTTAACAAGGTTTGTCTAGCCCCTAACGTTACTGTTTACAGATTTGTAATTGTAATAATCTATTTGCGTATTTAGAATCAACGTATATATAACAAATTTATTTGTATACATGTAGTTGTATACTACTAGGAATTTTGTTACAGCTGATATTTAATGAAACACCTTTGCTTTTAGAGAATATTTATGGACCAAATACATGTACATAATTATTTTCTAGACTTTTATAATATGGTAATCAAAAAAATTGATCAAAATTTATTTCAGTATGGTCATTTAAAACATGTAAAACAACAACTGCAAATATTAAACATAAAATACATGGGAATAAATTAACAATGGCATGCACATCAACTCCAATGATAGCACAAAAAAGAGAGTCTCTTATTTCCATTGTGGTCCCCCTCTGTTGGTTGCATTATATTAATTAAGAGCCTTTATCGAGTGCAATCTATGATTACACTACCTTTACATTTAGATAGTTTTCTAATTAAAGTTGCCATGCCACGTGCCTTTGATTTACTATAGCTAGCATAATATTCTTCTTCCCATTCTGCATAAACTTGATTTTCTTGAACACCATCCCAATCGGATATGGTGAACATAAATATAAGATAAAAGTCGTTTTTCACTTAGATACATTGGTTTATTTATCAAATTATTTTTTCACAAATAAATGTATACAAGTTTGATTTACAGTTAAAAACAATGCTTTGACAATCGATTTTTGAAAGCAAATTATCATCTAAAAAATCCAATAGTGAGAATATATAACAATAACTTATTATGAAAAATTAATTCATTTACAAAAAAAAAAACAATGACAATAAAAAAATAACAAAAAAACCCAAACAACACAAACATATGGAGTGTTTTAACATATATATTTTATCAATAAAAACTACATGTATAAGTATAATTCAGATGACAATTAATCATTTTATTTATTTTACATACATAGAGGATATTTAAGTTTTTTCTATAAATACATGATTTATTTTCATCGACTGGTATGGAAATAAATATTTCATGAGTGGCGACAGCCACGAGTGAAATATGGTAATTTTCATGCCACAAGATGAAAATAAATCATGTATTTATAGAAAAAACTTGAATTTTCTGTTTATTATATACATTTTCTTTTTTTGACATTAAAATTTGAAAGACTTTCCTTAAATTTTGTGTACCGGCAGAATTTAAAAGAAAGTAGTCCGGCAAGACACCACTGAAAATACGGAAAATATGTTTCACTACAGTGAAAAATAAATTTTTACAGTGAAAATACGGAAAATGAAAATACGCATTTTATTTTATCAATATTTCTCAATATTTCATTTATAAGTATATAATAAACATAAGAATTTTATATGTGTAGCTTTATTACTATTTAATACAATCATATAGAGATTTTGTTATACTCCTACTTTATCAAAATATCAAACATATGGACTACATATATGTGGTATTATTTCATGTATCTGTGATAGTATTACCATGAAAACATAAATCATATAAAGTGTATTATGTATGGCATTATGGAATTCAATCAAGTCTGGAGGGATCACTTTGTTAACAGATTTTTATATTGTACACCGTTATAATAAAACCTATGGTGGCATATTTCTGCCACCAGATAACCTGATAATTAACTAGTTAATTAAGAGGTTAACTAGTTACGTTTTTACGTAACTAGTTAACCTCTTAATTAACTAGTTATTTATCAGGTTAACTAGTTACGTAACTACTTAACCCGTTATCACTTATCTATAAATAGATACTGCATAATATTTGGAATACCCGTACTGTCCGCTTATGAGCGGGGTATAACTAAAATACGAAAATAGGGTTATTTTCGCGAAAATTGCATTTTGGCGTGAGCGGCAAGATATTCCCTTGTTTATTGCACATGTCTCACAGCATCGGGTCAATTTCCTTTGTATTTGTTTGTTTGTCCAGAGCCTTTGAAAGTTAAAACTTTCATTGTCTGACCAATACATATCCTATTTTATAAATACAATATATATACCTAAATGAAACGTAATCGGGCCGTAAAGTAATCATTTGTACTGACCCATGAAAAGGCGTGTTATAAAACATAAACTAATCAAAGGGTTTATTGATGTATCTTATTATAACCACCAACCCTGTTGCACCTGTCCATTAAGATATGGAAAGTATTGATTAAATGCTTTACAACATTCCATGTACTCGTCGATACACAAATCATTAACAGGAAGGTATACAAATACATCAAGAAATGAATAATGTTGTAAATCATGCAATGTTATATTTGTTTGTAACAGAATATCTTTCTCTTTTAGTATGTCCAAAAACATAGGACTAAAAAAACTTTTAAAAACACAACGTTATTCTCTTTTAATGTCTGCAATGACTTAAGTGGGACTTTGTATCAATGCAATGGAGCAAAACAATGCTATTTATAGATAAGTGATAACGGGTTAACTAGTTACGTAACTAGTTAACCTGATAATTAACTAGTTAATTAATAGGTTAACTAGTTACATAAATACTTAACTAGTTAACCTCTTAACTAACTAGTTAATTATCAGGTTAACTAGTTACGCAAATACCTAACTAGTTAACCTGATAATTAACTAGTTAATTATCAGGTTAACTAGTTACGTAACTAGTTAACCTCTTAATTAACTAGTTAATTATCAGGTAAACTAGTTACGTAACTAGTTAACCCGTTATCACTTATCTATAAATAGCGTTGTTTTGCTCCATTGCATTGATACATGGTCAGATACTGGAGAGAATGGTCAGATACTAGATTGAGTGCTACTGCAAATTTAACAGATCCCTAATCTCATTCTGACATGACTCGCTTTTTATTCCCCTTTGAAGGTATCATTGTCGGATAATGATGATGCTTTTACTGTTCTATTTTACCTTGATTGTAAAATAGTTTGAGTTGTAAAGCAATAATTGTACCAAAACACAATTAAATTTGTATTTAATATGTATCTTTGAATTTAAAGACAGAATTAAACAAACCCAGAAAATGAATGCAAAATACATTTTATTCAATGTTGTAATTTAACATAAAGGTATAAAGTAATTCAAACAACCATTTAAGATCGTTTACTGTCATATCTTTGAATTGCAACTTAAGACTAAAACTAGCAACACTTACAAATAATAATGAACTCTCACACAAAATACATAGGGCATTGCACAAATCAAGATGTGCATGCATTAAGTATGTTTAATTACTGGTATCATTTTAACACGCACGATTCATATAAAATCGTAAGCATATAATGAATATATCAACTAACACAAAAAAAGGTAATTGCACAAATGTGCCATAAGGCATTTTTAATCAATGATATAATTTAAACACGCATCCAGGAGAGCATCGGTGGACATTTGTAAACATTGGATACCGGGCCTATTGATATCATCCTGGTCTATGCTCCTGATCCATGGTTAACCTGACGAAGATGATGATTTACTTTGTTTTGATTTGTCATTTCTCAATGTGTGTAATAAAGTTTGACGTTTGTGCAGTTAACTCGACTGCAATATCAGAAGTACCTAAATTAAAGATGTCATGAAGCCCCTTTATGACACGACACGTGTTGCCAATTCATGGATGTAAAAGTGTCAGTGTTGGATTGGTCCCTTCATTCCATTCTTTAATTGCATAAAAGAGTACAATGTGTATAGCAACATTTAATTAAATGCTCTATGTGAAAAAGTATTATGCTTCACCGAGATGTGTTTAGCATTATAGCAGTTATATATACCAAATATTACGAAGCTTTTATATACTTAAAGTGTCTTTTTTATTATTGACAAACTATGTTGTGTTTTTTAAAGTTTTTTTAGTCATACTAAAAGAGAAAGATATTCTGTTACAAACAAATATAACATTGCATGATTTACAACATTATTAATTTCTTGATGTATTTGTATACCTTCCTGTTAAGGCAATGATTTGTGTATTGACGAGTACATGGAATGTTGTAAATAAATTTAACAATACTTTCCATATCTTAATGGACAGGTGCCACAGGGTTGGTGGTTATAATAAGACACATCAATAAACCTTTGATTAGTTTATGTTTTATAACATGCCTTTTCATGGGTCAGTACAAATGATTACTTTAAGGCCCGATTACGTTTCATTTAGGTATATATATTGTTTATATAAAATAGGATATGTATTAGTCAGACAATGAAAGTCTTTCAAAGGCTCTCGACAAATAAACAAATACACAGGAAATTGACCCGATGCTGTGAGACACGTGCAATAAACAAGGGAATATCTTGCCGCTCACGCCAAAATGCTATTTTCGCGAAAATAACCCTATTTTCGTATTTTAGTTATACCCCGCTCATAAGCGGACAGTACGGGTATTCCAAATATTATGCAGTATCTATTTATAGATAAGTGATAACGGGTTAACTAGTTACGTAACTAGTTAACCTGATAAATAACTAGTTAGTTAAGAGGTTAACTAGTTACGTAAAAACGTAACTAGTTAACCTCTTAATTAACTAGTTATTTATCAGGTTAACTAGTTAGGTATTTCCGTAACTAATTAACCTGATAATTAACTAGTTAATTAAGAGGTCAACTAGTTAAGTATATATGTAACTAGTTAACCTCTTAATTAACTAGTTAATTAAGAGGTTAACTAGTGACGTAACTAGTTAACCTCTTAATTTTAAGATGATAATATAATAAAAGGATGGCAGTTGCAGGCACTAACATGCATTTATTTCCCGTTATGATTTTTTCTTTATTGAAAAAATTAACTAGTTACGTAACTAGTTAACCTGATAATTAACTAGTTTGTTATCAGGCTATCTGGTGGCAGAAATATGCCACCATAAAAACCATATAAGTTATGGTCTTTGCTAAATGAATCAAATATTGTCTTCAATTATTTTGTAAACCAAAATAAATTTCTTATTTAAATTTTTTCTTACATCCTTTTTCACTCATTGAGTACACCATAATTTCTAATTTATGTCTTATGCATTTGTTTCGCATATTATAATTGGTATCTAATTAATTTCATTTTCGTTTATTAAGTACTCAGTCACATGTAACTTATTACTTACTTCTTCACTTATTATGTACATCAAAACAAGTATCGGGTATCTAACAATTTCTTCTGCATGAACACCAAAACAAGAATCTAATTAATCTCTCAAAAAACAGTATGTAATTGATTGCTTCTTTACATAATAAGTTCACCATTTATAGCTGGGTTATTTCTTCTTTGCTGAAGCTGAATAACGTCTTGCAAAGATTGATTTTGGTGTGGCTACACTCTTTTTGGACTGGGTGTGTTTCCCTCTGAACTCTGCTCCCATGCTCGAGGAATCCGGTCTTTTTGACATATCTCTTTCAAGACATAGCAATATTTTCTCAATCACTAACTGAGCCAAATTTAAATTTTGGACGACTGGTTCCAGATGTTTTCTTGCTGATAACTCCAAAAAGTTTTTGATAGAATCTCTTGGTACATCGGAAAATACTTTAAATCGACTATTCGCTACTTCCAGGGTGAATAGAGCAAATGAGTACATATCTGCACATGCAACATACATTTGACCGCATAGAACTTCAGGTGCAAGATATTCCCATCCAGGAGTAACTCTTTCGAACTCTGACTTAGGCAATACTGGTTTTCTTGGCAAACAACACCCTGTCATCTTTACTTCTCCTTTCTCCGATACCTAGAATATGTTTAAAAACAGATTTCACAACAGAATATACATATTATTACACATTATTATTAGAATATGTAAACTTGATGGATTATTGAAAATTTTGAGTATTATTCCTTTTGTTTAAGACGTGTCTATCAAGTGGGCTGTCTCAAACCATCAAAGTCGGTCATTCGTTTTGTTATTAATTAATTAATATTATCAATTATCAATTTTTAAAAAGTTATAACACTACGCCTTTGCATATGTTTGCGTCTGTGAAATGTATCGTTAAATCACCTTTAGCAGTTAATTTTGTTTTTTATTTGACAATAGTGTAAATATATGAACTTATAATTACAGTAACGGTGTCTTTGGTCAGATCCATATGAACCAAACCTTTGGAATGAAGATACTGTAGACCGGCAAGAACATCTTGAAGAGTTTTCTTAGTATTAACTTCAGATGAGTCCATGCATGTACGAAGGGAGCACAGTTTTCCAGCGAATATAAGTGCCGGAGTAGGTGCATCTCGTTGGTGGAACTCTCCTAGAAATTCTGCTATACACACGTCGGAGTGCATCAAACATCTGAAACAATTCAATAATTGTTATAGTATTCAACTATATATTAGTAAACGTGCAAAACAAAATGCGTCACCGCAACAGGCTTATGAGTAACATCAAGCATGTGTTGTAAAAATAAAAGTAGTATATAAAAATGTAAAGTGGAAAATGTTCCCGATTCAATTGTCAGGTAAATGCAAAAATGAAGAAATCTTAGATGGTCAAGACTGCACTATAGACATGTTTTTGCTACTGCTCGTTCAAATGGAAGAACCCCTCTGTGTTCCTTTTAGCAATCATTATTGTGTTATTTGTGTCTACTGACGACTTTTGTTGTCTTGAAGAAAATTATTAATGAAGTGTTAAGGAAGGTTATTGATCAATATATTATTTTCTTTAAAAATGTCTGATAAATTTGATAATACATGTTTATCATTTTCTAGATAATAAACATAGAAACATATGTATGACTCATTACCATGCAGCTGTATCAAGAAGGGGCAATATATAAACTATTTCTTTAGGTAATTATACATTTTATTGTACAATACGGGAATATATTTGGACGAGTACACAGCTTGAAAAGTCATATTGGACGGGCCGATAGGTGAGTTCAATTTGACTTTTCAAGCTGTGTACAGTAAAATGTACAATAAACTTTTTATTATATTTTTTGTTTAATTTGAAATATCATCATCATCATCACTCCAACAAAACCACCACCAATATCATCATCCGCACCACCACCATTATCGGTAACAAAACCAGTATCACTACTAACAACACCATCAATAAAACCACCAAAATTACAACCACTACCACCATCATAAATAATAGCCATGTGACCCCTGTCAATTTTTATTAGAATAAAAGGTAATAATTCATGAATGGTTTTGTTGTATACCTACATAAGTTTTACGAGTTGACTGATGCAACGAATACTTTTTCGACGTTACAGTATTTATCGATTTATCATTTACTGTGAGTTCAAGAAAATGACAGTTAAAATTGCCTAAACAAATTATACATTGTAACAACTTACATTTATCATTAATATCTGTTTAATAAACATCATAATTATATAACAGTTAATCCGAAATATATCACATTGACACCCCTTATCTAAATTATCACATTGACAATAGAATAACAATAATAATAGATTGTCGATTGGTTAGATTTATTAGATGTATAATAATAATAATAATAATAACAAGATTTATAAAGCGCCCTTTTCATGCAGAGCACGTTCAAAGACACTGTACATAACAAAATAAAAGAACAATCACAAAAGTATGGGATAAAACGTAAAATAGAAAAGAAAATACAAAATGAAGGTAAAAATAAGATATACCCGTGTGCTGCTACACACAGAATACGTTTAAAACGTCTTATAAAACCGGTAAAACTTACAAACTTGTGTAAATAGATAGAAGAATAATATTAGGTAATTGTTAAAAGAAGATTTTTTCAAAACTTTTTTTAAAAAAACGAGAGGGTTTTACAGTCACGTAGTTCTGAAGGTAATGTGTTCCAAAGTGTTGGTGCAGCAAATGAAAACATCGATCACCGTATGTTACAGTTCTGGAACGTGGAACATTCAGTAATACCGATTCATACAGGGACCTTAATTGTCTGTGAGGTATATACACTTTTAACAAGTTTCTGATGTATTGCTGGGCTTCTCCATGAAGGCCTTCAATGACGTGAGTAAGATTTTTATAATCTATACATCGATGTATTGGAAGCCAATGAAGTTCTTTTAGCACTGGCGTGATGCTGACATACCTATGAGTTTTGGTTTTAAAGGGTGCAGCGGTATATTGAACGATTTGTAATTTGTTAAGAACTGTCTTTGCAGAGCCATTTAGAAGGGCATTACAATAGTCCAGTTTCGATGCAATTGAATAATTCACCAAGGATTTTGCCGCGTCGTCCGTAAGATATTGCCTTATATGACCAATTTGTCGGATGTGCATATAGCATGGTCGGGAGACACTGTTCACATGAGTATTAATTTCTAGATGAGTGTCAAGCATAGTTCCTAGGTTTCTAATTGATTACTGATTCCCCAACTTTTAAGGAAATATCGTCAGCCAAAGCAGATTTTCGTTTAGGAACGAATACAATTGTTTATCTGCTATACTTTTCGTCACTGGCCAATTATCTCTTTAAATATAATTTTGATATTTTGCCTTATTTCAATCTTTGACTTCACACATGACAAGGTCATACACATTCAACAATTGCCTTCACGTTATACCCAGTATTAACCCCAATATACCGTATTTAGATATAAACTAGTAAATCCTACGGCATATATGTTTGATAGTTACGTGGTATAAATAAGAAACATCGATTGTTTTAAATAATGGATATATAATAATAGTTTCAGGTAATTAACTGCTGACAATTTGAAAATGTGAATTACAGATTATATTTTTGAAAACGTATTAATTCAATAAAAATATCAAAATAATTCAAAATTGATTTACCTTAATTTTGCTATTTCGATTGGAATATTTTTAACTGCTGCATTAGTTGAATACATCTTGACAGCAACGTATTGTGTTTCACTGCCTTTAGTTATTTCTCCCAAATGTACTGTAACAAGATTGATGCTAAATATGCTTATATAAGGTATAATGCTTGAAGACACATCATTACAATTTATTTGTTGATTTGTGCTATATATATATTATGAAACATGAATTATCAATGTTTAAGTTTGATAAATTGATAATTTTTTGATGACACTACAATAAATGGTTAATTATGCAATTGCTATTGAAAAAACATATTAAAATCCGTTGAATAAATGAAGGAGAATTTTCCTACCCAAGTGCCATAACCCATGCGGTATCTCTGAATTGTTGTCTTTTTGCATGACAGATGCGTTTTTCATCAATACTGCCATAGAAGGCCTCCTTATCATACCTTTGCATGCTGGTTCACCCTGGGGAAGTTGGACATGCATTTTTACGTCTTTTTCCTCAAAGTCACTTACAGAAAAGTTATGTTCACCATAATGTATCAAATCACTTCGAATTCTTTCTATGCTGATCAACATGTTTTCGTACTGGGCTCTGTATTTTTGTTCGGCCAAAAATTCATTCTCAAATCTTTCAAGAAGCGTCTTGTTTGAACTAATCAGTCCTGGAATTTTATTTTCAAGTCTTTTAATGTAGTTGTATGGTCTTTGAAGAAAATCTATGACAAACATTTCCAGTCGGTCATCTTTGTTTTTCATCAATGAATCATGCAGTTTCTCTGACCGGATTTGAGCAACTTTACCAGGATTATGTTTATATTCTTTGAGTTTCGTTTCATCGTGCCTTTTCCGGATTGCTTTAGTCATGAATAATTTTAACCTGTGTCTAAGTTTCTTAGGTACATCTCTATCCAGGAGATCCTCTTCTGTCAAATTTTCTAATGATTGGCATAAACCGGAAAGTAAAGTAATACTTGGAGCTCTATATAAATTTATATTATCTTTATGTTGCACACCATATTCAACAGCAGCAAGATCGCTTTCCAGTTCACACAAGTTGAGTTTAGCTTCACGTGATAATTTTTTCTCAAGCAACGGAATAAATTGTGTTTGTTCGTCCCATTCCTCAAGCAGGTCCGTCAGACGATCATCAAAGGCTGTATCGATATGCCGTTTTATCCAAGACCATGTCCCTGAGGCAGAGTTCAAGTCAGGCAACTCTCCCTCCTTTTCTCCCCATTTTGTTGTTAACTTTGTTTTGGCTTGTGTAGTATGTAAATAATTTCTTACCTAAATAAAAAGTATGTGTTTATATGTTTACTAGTTTTATATGTACTTGATAAATAACAATGCAAGCAGCTCAGAATAGGGAAGTTTTCATGATTCAAATATTGTATGTTTTAACTTATCATGTTAGAAACGAGAATACCTGTTTTTTCCGGAGATTATTTGTAATTACAAACAACCAATTCTTGCATTATAAGACAGGGTTATCTACTGTTTACACCGGTGCCAAAAAAAAGCTTATCTGACCCCCCCCCCCTGTAAGACAAGGTCGTGTGCTATAAATGACATCTTCCCCGCCAGTCTTTAATGAATGAATTGCGTTCTTAAGATGACGTTATTTTGCCGTTATGTATGAAGTTGTAAATTCATTCGCTGCTATGAGAAAGAAGTACTAAATGAAAATATTAGTTTTCGTCACTTTTCCTCGAAATATGATTTATAGGTAATATGCAAGAAAATGAATCAAACAATCAAATTTCTAGCTTTCGGATAACTATTAATCGGAAACTCGACAGAGCCTCATCATAGCCATAAATAGTCACTTTCGAGTAAGATATTCCGATATGTATCTGAAGCCGGTGTAAGATTCTTATATGTGTGATAAAATCCCATGTAAAGAATTATACATTTATATAGTTAGGAGTAGATCTTAATCTACTGTGAACTATAATGTGTTATACCTGATGGCAAATATCTTCCACAGCAACGTCCATTTCGTTGTAGAGTGACAGTATCACCGAATCTGCCTTTTTACTCAATATACTCAGCTTCTCTAAAACTTGCTTGGTTTGTTTTTGCCTCTCCTTGTCACCCATGTCAAGTCTGTGAAAAATTGTCTGTAGGTAGTGGACACTTCTTTGGAGCACAGTCCCTATCCACCTTTGAAATATGGTGACATCACGTTAAGATTCATCAAAATCGTAAGAACCTTTCTGTTGAAAGGTGTTGAAAATGTTGTTTCTAATGTAAAATGTTATAACAAAGACGAAAGAGATTTAGCGGCTAACCTTTTCATTTTCAAGGTATTTATTTCAAAAATCGAAAATGCAAAAGTATGTGAATGTTAACGTAAACTACGTAAGTACCTGTATGAGGCTTTGATGCGTTTATCTAGGGAAACTTCAACGAGTTACATCAATCCATACATCAACGCGACATATTCTTCAGTTACATATCCTTTATTTACGCCAATCTCTTGCTTAGCTTTAAATGTCGAAAAGAAAACTGCGTGAGATGAATCAAAGTCTGGCCATGCCTTCTCAAGCTGTTTCAGAGCGTTTTCCCGCACGGCTTTCTTTGACTCTTGTGGCACCATGTCCCATCTGTTACAGACAAACAATGCTGCTTTTGGATTAAACTTCACAACGTCGTTGCTGCTTCTTTGACTCTTGATTATAAGGCTCATTAGGTTAACGAGCTGTACAAAACAAAATTGAACAAGGTTTCGTTAGTTAACCGGTAAATATTGAATTGTGCTTTGTGATTTTATTTCAAATATTTAATTCACATGAGCCGTTCAGCCTTAAGAGTTGACAGTAATAACATTTAAAATAATAGTATGAAAGTGCTCAGGAGAAAGGATTGATCATAATTATCTTCAGCTAATATGTATAGAAGATCTGATAATCATTGTGTTCAATAAATTGTTTTTTATGAATTGCCAAAATGATTTACAATGTAATATATACATGCATATGCAACATATTATGTGTTTTTTCCAATGATTTATAGAACCCTACCCTATCCTCCGCTATCCCTAGAGCATTGTCAGTCATTATGATGTATACAAAGCCAAGTATCTGATGAGATCTTATATATTCCATCAAATAGTTCTCTAGAAATTCATTTTCTCCAATTCCTGGGGTATCAACAAACACAAGACCGGACTGAAATATCGATACAACATCTTATATCTATACTTTAACATATTATTGACAGCCATTCCGTCTGAGTAGAATAAAACAGAATGTCAATTGCGTCAAACAATCGGCATTTTTATATTGTCCACCCTCATAAGAAATCTGAGCAAAGCCAAATCGTATTCATAAAACATAATTCATTTATTGTATTTCCAAACAAGTTCTTGTTGTTTTTTAATATTGAAACACAGCCGTTAATAAAAGATTTTTGTCTGTCCAAAATAATATGTACAAAGTGGTAAACGTGCTTTTTTATTTCTAAACGAAAAAAGAAACATTTATGTTCAATATACTATATGAGTTTAATTTTAACCTATTTGCCCTATACTATATGAGTTTAATATTAACCTTACATGTAACATTGTAATGGGCAAATAAACTTGAATTTCTGCAACTTCGTGGCCTTCTTTTCTTCTTTTATATACCCCTTGTTCATCTGTTCCGTTTTTTGCATTGGAAAAATATGCTCTTTGTTGTAGTCTTTGAAGTCCCTCTTTATCCAAGTTCGGAATAGATTCAACCTCGCCGTTTTTATACACTACCTTTGCGCATTTATAAGAATGATATCTTATTACTGTGATACATGAGGTACAAGGAAGCATATGAGAAGGAAGAATCTCCTCACCGAGCAGTAAGTTGAGAAGACTAGATTTTCCTGCCGACGACTCGCCTGTAAAATAGGAAAAAATGAATCCCTAAAGAAAGCCAAAATTGGCAAAATTGTAAATGTTTTAGGCTCGGTTTGATTGAGCCTGGTCATTGACGGCACTGCAAGTGCAAATAACCGTCAACGCCCTTTAGTACCGGCTCAAGCAGAATTCAACGTTTAAACATAAAATGGCAATATTTTGAATTTAGAAACATTCGCAGATGTGTTCATACGACGGTTATCATGGAACCTTTAATGTGACACCTCCGTGCCATTCTATGAAAAGCGGCGTATGGTTCCCAAATAATATTAAGTGTGTATCACAATACCATTCCGTTCAGCTGCCTTTGAAATAATGGAGCATACGTAGGAAATAAATCCATTTAACACACTTAATTTTGATATGTTTTCCGGTAACATTCCAGAATTAATTTTAAAGACATAAAATAAAACTAAGATCATTTGAAGGAGAGCTATAAATATTGTCTTTAGTAGCATAATGGACACAGTGTAGTTCGAACGACAATATACCATTTGATTCCAAGAGCAGTGAACATTCATGCAAAATTGAGTTTTATCAAATATAGTCGAACTCGTAAAATTGTGCTTACACGAGGTAAGGAAGTAAAGTCAGTTTTATGGTCACTTCATAGATTCTTTATCATCTGCCCCTTTTATACTGTCGATGATTTTATTGTTGAGATATAACATAATTTACCTAAAATAAATGAAAACATACCTGATACAAGAATTACACATTCTTTTTCTTTCAGACTGGTAAGGCGGAGATCACAATCGTGTGTTATATCATCGGTTGTTCCATCCTTGTTAAGTAAATCTTCCATTAGTTCTTGGCGTTTAGTAGCGCTGGAATTCGTACCTTGTGCAAATATATTCTTTACTTCTTCAATAATACGAGATAAAGATTGCCTTTTTAAGATGTCTTTCTCCCCAAGTTCTTTAAGCTGATCATCCATCTAAAATGAGTATGCAAAAATAAGTTTTTTAAATAAAACGAAGAAATGATGTACTAGGAAAAGGTATAAATTTGTTTTTGAAGACATAAAACGTTTCAAGTCATTTAATATTTTATTACAAATAATAAGGATCAATTTCCTGCCCAACACGTAAAACAATTTTATTATTCATGTACCATAAAAGTAACTCGTTTGTTTGAATATTTTAGTGTAAAACCGAAAACATTTTAAGAGAAATAAGAAGAAAAATGTGCGCCGATGATATGTAAATAACACCATGCATTGCTGTTAGAATTATGTAATTACGTAAACATGTTTGTATTCCGTCATGACTGGTTTATCAAATTATTTGAAAATAAACAAAATTATAATAAAATCTCATTAATGTTCTTAAAATAATTCTTTAACTAATGAATACAATCAAGTAAGTAACGCTAAAACACTAACTTTGTCAAATAATAAATCAATGAGAACTGGAACAATACTTTATTTGTCTGTTAAATAATTTACCTTGTGTTTGAGATTTCCTTCATTTATAAGTTTAACGTGACATTTAAGCCGTGTTTGTATTTCATCAACCGAGTCGAGCTCATCAATATTGATATCGTGATCTTCAGCCAATTCCATAGCACTGATTGCATCTTTCAATTTATCTATAGCTTCAAGCGTTAACGTAGAATTTATTTCAGTCTTTATTTGCGTCTTTTCATCTTCATTTTTGGCATCGGTAACAGCAAACTGTTTTCCACCAATGCCTTCTTCCGTCATATTTTCCACCGGTTTGATTTATCAATATCCAAGTTTAATCTAAATTGGGTTATTTTATGCTCTGCCTTTTAAAGTGCCGCATTCAGGTAAAACTTCTACACTGAGATTACAATATTTTAGATAATGTAGGTTTAAGATTTTATCAGAATTGCTAACAAATGACTGAAATAAATAATCAATATCATTATTTTGTATTTATCCGCTTTATCATAAATTTTTTTTCCGATTTAATTCTACAACATAATCAGACATAACTCCAAATATTAAGCATTTTTATATTGTAATTTATGAAAACAAAGGGACTTAAAATATTCCACTATCATATTTCAACTTTCAAATCGATAGTTACACCTTTTGTTCATTAATCGTCAATTGTAAAGCGCTGTGTAAAAACGGTCTACAGTTTTTGTTGTTTAAAATTACCTTTAGAGAGAATATCCTTTAGAAAAAAATATTGTTAAGTTTACAGTTTTGAATTACTTATTCCTTACAAGACATTTGTTAACTACACGGTTGGCTCTGCCTAATCAAAGAACCTGCATTTTTTTTTGCCTTTTTGGGGTACGGTAGCAAGTTGGTTCTTCTCTTTTCATCCATATCATTTGATCAATTGTTCTTGCTATTCCTTTATGACAGCAAAACCTTGTACCCGGAACATCAAATCCCTTTTCATGTTTGACTTTGTTTAAGATTGAAATTTGAAATAATGAATATTGAAATTTAAACTACACATATTTTATTTCTAAACATTACAAAAGTAGTTAAAACAATTTTCACATTAAGATTAATATTCACTCATCTGACAGGTATATGTTTTATGGGTGAGATTAGTACACATAAGCCGGTGTAATTTACCCATTGTAGGTTTGCTACTGACCGTGTTACTTCGTGCTTGTCTTATTTACAAGTAAATGTTTTGTGTAATGACGTTTTTAATTGTTCCGCTTTTTTTCCAAACATGAGTATCACAGTATACGGTAAGAATTTTCCCAATCCTTTTTATATTTATCCGCCCAAAGTTATTCCCGTTCCATTGAATTGGGTCGTAAATTGCTCACTGTTGATTATACTTCATCCTAGGTTGTTCTGTAGTTATTAACTATGTTTAATGCACCAAAGGTTTGCTAAAGTGTGGGTGCTTCTTCATCAAAATTTATACCGTTTCCAATACTGAATTTTGCTAAAGATGGTGGTAGAAGTGAGAACGATAGCTTGCACTTACCACCGGAAAATTAAACTAAACGTGCAACATTGTCAACTTTTGGGTTTTCAGTTCCTTTCATTTAGTTATACGAGAAGCCGGTTCTTCTAAAAATATTTTTTTATTTGTTCAATAACATTTCATTAATTTTTCGTTTTGTAAGGTTTCGTCTCTTTTTCCAAGCTCTTCTATCTGAGCATTTATCTGTGTAATTCAATTTAACAAATAACAATGTATGTTTGCTAAGAAAAAGTAACTTTCCTTGACATTAATCGTTTTGAAAACTACGCTATGATTATGTTGATTTCATATTAACATTTATTATTGTAATGCGGAAAATTGAATTTCAACGTCATGACCGTCTTGTCTAGCTTTATATACCTCCTTTTCATGTTTGTTGCATGTGAAAAATATGCGCGCTGTTGTACTTTTAGAAGTGCTTCTTTATCCATATTCGAATCCGGAATCGATTTTACCTTTCAGTTTTATACACTACATTGGCGCATTTATAAAATTTGTATCTAATGACTATTATACATGATCTTAGGAAGCATGTATAAATATAGGATTTCCTCATCTTTGAAGACTAGATTTTCCCGCAGGCGTCTGTCTGTCAATACGCAACTACATTAAATCTAATTGTTTTCTTCGCCAAACTAGAGCAGCCAAAAGTCTCTCAATTACTGATAACTATAAATTGAGATATCTCAT